TTGCCTATGGGGGTGTGTCAAACATATATGCTGCATATTGTCTAGGCTGTAGTGGGGTAGCCCATATGGGGTACAACCAAATTAGGGTTTACTACTTGTACTCCTGCATGCTACTAGTTCATTCATTCCTGCTGCTAGTTTCTAACAGGAAGTGCCGAACATTTGGTCCCGTTTTTGCCGAGGTCGCAAATACCTTTCAGGAGGAAATGCTGTACCGTTTCCCGCCGGGATCAATAACGTTCTAGGAGCTGGACGTCCACCAATTCCCCCGCATGCTCTCGGTCAACGACCTCACTGGTACCCTCAATCTGCTGGCGTTCCGACAAGGCGAGCTTGTGAAAAACCTTGAGACATCATGCACGAATGGTCTGCATGATGAGCTGGTGAAGATCATGCAAATGCCAGTGTACGAATGACGTCCGCCGTGCTCCTGTGACTTCCTCACGAATGTCAGTCTGTCCAATGCACGCGTTTCTTGTACCGTCGTCTCTCCTCTTCTTACCACCCTTTATCTTTGACAAATGTAGGATGCTGGCAATTGATTTGTATCTGCCTGCTGCCACCTAAAACGCAAGAGTAGCGGTACTACCGTATTTATGTGAAACGTTCCTCGTCTGGGCACATTAGTGCTGTCATGTTCTGGGGTAATAAGGAAGAGCGGAGGCAGGAAGGGAAGGAGTTAGAGACGTGGGAGGGTTCAGTCAAGGAGTCAGAGAGGGGGGGGAGTAAATTCAGAGAGAGGGAGTTGAGTCAAGGAGAGGGGGGAGTTGAGTCAGAGAGAGGGAGGAGTTGAGTCAGAGAGAGGGGGGAGTTGAGTCTGAGAGAGGGGGGAGTTAAGTCAGAGAGAGGGAGTTGAGTCAAGGAGAGGGGGGAGTCGAGTCAGGGAGAGGGGGGAGTTGGGTCAGGGAGAGAAGAGAGTCATGCAGGCTGTGGCATGGGTCGGATCGGATGAGCACGGATGTGTTGTTTGGGCTGGAGGCCATGAGCAACCAAATCATGTGCATGGGATGGGCATGGACGGATATAGCCTGTACCCGGATATTCTACCTTTAGGAAGAGGCATTTCTATGTGCAGTGCTGACAGATATGCTCAATGGCGAGAAGCATTTGTGTTGAATATGCTCCCTACCCTACCATCTCATATTTTTCGACTTTGAAGTACACCACTCGTTGCCGTACATACATTTGAAGTAAACCCTCACTACGTACAATTCTAGTATAATACAGATAACAAAGGGCGTTATATGGTGAAATATCCCTTAGATGTTTTCTTTAGAGCTTATTATATGAATTGAACACCCATTGCTTCTTAGCGAGAGTTCCATCACCGCATCGCAAACGTCCTCTTGACGTCCGTCTTCTTGACATCTGTGGGCGGGCGGACAAGATGTGAATGGAGAATTCCAGAAACACTTCCCAGTGTGGTTGCAATGCACTTGACCAGTTTCGCCACCCGCCCTAGGTCGTAACTCGTGAGATGTATTTTTCGCCAAGTTCTCTCTGAGACGAAAGGTAGAACGGAGGGCGATGCATCGACAGAACTCGAGGTCACGGTGGGGGGGAACTGGCGCTGCGCTGCAGTTTCGATCCGATCCGACACCAACGCATTATGTCACAATCGCAGCCACATTTTCTTGACCGTGGACCTGACCATCACATTTTCAGATGCAAGCGAGCCTTTTGTGCGAGCTGGTGAAGGCCTTCCCTCCCACCAGCCCCAACAGAGGCTCTGCTCTGGTCCCGTCCCGTGCATAGCTATCCAGACCGATCGAAGTTTTGGATTTTTTATTCCACATTGACAGTCTTCCTCAAGATATTATATCCATGGCGTTCGCCGTATCTGACTCTGTGGCTCTGTTGCGGGATCACGAGTTTGTTGAGCTCGTTCTGCTTGCTCTGCACTTAGTCGTGGTGACTTTTCTGAAGAAGCGCGGCTACGAATCTGAAAAACTTGCTGAGATAATTGAGAATGTCGCGAAAGACAACAAGGAGAGGGGCCAAGCCGTCACATTCTACGCGTTAAACGCCGAGGACTATCCCGACTTGGGCCCAAAGTATGGTGCAGAACATACGCCGTCTGTTCTGCTTTTCAAGAACGGATCTGTTGTCCACAATTTCAAAGGCTTTCCACCACCCCCCCAGCGTGTCGTCGAATCTGCAGTTGCGGACTGGATGTGAACTCGCTTCGTGAGATACTGCGTATCGCCAGTCTAGAGTACTGGTAGTTATTGAGGCTGTGGTGTTACAAACAGGAGAAATACCCTTGGTGCACCTGGGCCTTCCAGAAGTTCGGAATTTTGCAACATCTCTGCCCGCAAGCAAAACACGAATTATGAGTGTCCTGTACGTATTCATGGAAGTGGAAGGCTGTGGTAAGAGAATTTAGTATGCCAAGGGATGAATGGGCATACTACAACTGTCATTTTCTATACCTGTGAAGCTGCAGATCTGTGAGACACACACAGGTGAAACGAGCTTTGCTGCGCAACAAGCACACAGAACCCACCTTCCAACAGATTATTGACGTCTAAAATCGCGAATGACGGTTGTACACCTATCCTGCGATAATTCCACACCCCCTATCTTCACGCCCTGGGGTACCTACCCTCGAAAAAGTCTCATTTCGAAGGTAGTTAGAAACGATCGCGGGAGTTTTGAGGGTAATAAGACACGACCTCAATGAGAGTTTAACACTCTATCTTTAAGGCACTGAGAATTTTGCCCGCTCACTCTGATTACAAATTTGAGTTTCGAATAGCCAGAACGCTGACGGTTCTTTACTGATAGACCCGTAGTGAGACGGACACCTCACTACGGGTCTATCAGTAAAGAACCGTCAGCGTTCTGGCTATTCGAAACTCAAATTTGTAATCAGAGTGAGCGGGCAAAATTCTCAGTGCCTTAAAGATAGAGTGTTAAACTCTCAGTGAGGTCGTGTCTTATTACCCTCGAAACTCCCGCGATCGTTTCTAACTACCTTCGAAATGAGACTTTTTCGAGGGTAGGTACCCCAGGGCGTGAAGATAGGGGGTGTGGAATTATCGCAGGATAGGTGTACCTTCTTCTGGTTTGACAGCTCACTTTACCTTACATTCACCGGAAATGGAAGAGCGGCTGAGAACGTGAGAGCCATGATTCCGTGGCCCATCTCACCTCTGTATACACCCTCATTCTCAGTCTGTGCACAATCGCCACATGCACCGAACGCTTGTAGTGACTGCAACGTGCCTAGAATGGTGCATGCACATACTCTACAAGCACAATCACGACTGCCACGTTGGTAATGCAGCTGTTGACTTTGACTGGCAGGAAGTGTACAGTGCGCTCACATGTGTGGTTGGCTGCCGTTGCTTTTCGCTCTACCATACGTTACCCCTTTCTACCGAACGTAGATATTCTGTATGTGTTTTGAACCTGTGTTAGGAATTGTCTGTTTCTTGTGTGTTTTGATGTGGAATCTTTGGCCACAGTGTAGGACAAAGTGAACAAGTCGTTTCGAATGTTACTGTTTTGGCGCTTGGTGCATGGTGTGCCTGGCAACATTAGGGGGTTCGGCCACAAGCACAGAGACGCTACCTGACAACACTGTTGTCGCTGCTCCCGATTGTGCGTAGACTGAGAATGAGGGTGTAGCAGATTGCTGTCAAGTCAAGATGGGCTGGGGGAGTTTCCTTTGGAAGCGATAACGTTGGGTCGGGCTCGTCTGTGGATGACCCGATCTGAGATCGCCTTCCTGGGGTGTCCGGACATTGAAGTGGGAACAGCGAAAAGTGCATTTGGCACGTGCAAGAGGATAGGCCTTGTGATGAGGTGGAGGCTAGACGAATCTGGACGTCGCAATTGTTCAGAGGCTACATACGTGCGAAGGCCCCACACGATCAAACTAGTACAGTACATCTCCGCCGTCAAACCTGCTGATTTGATCGCAGATTGTAGATGGAGTCGAGCAGTCAGAAATGATTGGGCAAGAAGTTTCGCAATTTCTCAACAGTCGCACATACAAGAGTCGGTGAGCTGCCAGGTTGGACCTAGAGAGATGCACTTTTGGGGCTGTCTGTGTCCGGACACTCCAGGAAGGCGATCTCAAATCGTGGTGGGGCAGCGTGTCAATCTAGATATTGTAGGGCCAGGCGTACACATACTATCGTACAGTTGGCCACGCCGACCGCGATGTCCCGATTGGCGGAAAATGAAGGCCTCTCACTGCCAGCAAACGAAGGTTTCCTCCGCTCTCAGTCAGATGCTCAGAGCATCTCGAGCGTAACCACCCTGCGCAAGACAATTCTTCATAGCCATTCACTCCGAAGTCCGTCAGTATTCCCAATAGCCTCTGTCCTCGTCTTCGTAACCTGATTTTGATGGCGTTCTCAAGCTCTGAACTCGTGAATGCGCTGAGCGAGGATGAATGGCAGACGCGCGTTCTTTCTGGTTCCGGTCTGATCGTGGTCGCCCTTTTCGACAGCACTCATACATGGAAATGCGAAACATTTGGTCCCGTTTTCGCGATATCGCGAGCAGCTTCAATGCGGAGATTCAGGAAGGATTAGTAACATTCTACGAGCTGGACATCGATAAATACCCCTGGGTGGCCTCGCAGAACCGCGTCAGCGGTACGCTCAATCTGCTGGTGTTCCGAGAAGGCAGTCTTGTAAAATCCCTTGATACGATTACGGTTGGTCGCCCCGGCACGCAAGACATGATTATGGAACTCATGCAAGGGTAGAGAGGGATGACGTCCCCTGTGCTCCTGTCAACTTGTGAAGTGCACTTGCCTTGTCTAGTACCATCAAGCTTGGGCGCTGTGACTTTTTTTCTGCAACCTGAAATGCAAGAGCAATGATGTGGCAAAGCTGATTCTTCGTGTGAAATGTTACTCTATCTCTAGGAATGAATGGGCACATCACAACGCAGTCTGGAAACTTTGTTAAACCAACTCTAGATGTTACACGATTCAAGGAATCCCTGTGTGGTGTACTGTACATCCATGCTCAGGCACACACCTACTCGTCCATGTCAGCCACATGTGGGCCCACAAAGTCAACCGAGTCAAAGAGGTCCGCAGCGAGCCAGACCTGCCTGTTACGCGGCATGGGCCCCTTCACACAGAAGAAGGTGCAGGGGGGCTGTTTCACCCTCGCCACCTCCTTATCCGCACACACCGGCGGCCACCCCGCCTCCGGCCTCACAATATCACTCTCCTCCACTGCCGGCCGCATGCGGTCCTTAGCAGGCGGCGCAGGGCATGTGGAGACGCGGTCCGGGCGGGTGACTGCGGCAGGGTCTTCCAGGGCCTGGGCGGCGTACTTGACGAGGAGGACGGCCCAGTAGAGCGTGCGGCCCTCCAGGGAGCAACCCCACCTGGATGGGCAAGGTTCAAGGAATTGGGAGGTGTGGGGAGAGAAGGGTGCATGAGAAGGGGTCTTCCAGGGCCTGGGCGGCGTACTTGACGAGGAGGACGGCCCAGTAGAGCGTGCGGCCCTCCAGGGAGCACCCCCACCTGGATGGGCCAGGTTCAAGGAATTGGGAGGTGTGGGGAGAAAAGGGTGCATGAGAAGGGGTCTTCCAGGGCCTGGGCGGCGTACTTGACGAGGAGGACGGCCCAGTAGAGCGTGCGGCCCTCCAGGGAGCACCCCCACCTGGATGGGCAAGGTTCAAGGAATTGGGAGGTGTGGGGAGAGAAGGGTGCATGAGAAGGGGTCTTCCAGGGCCTGGGCGGCGTACTTGACGAGGAGGACGGCCCAGTAGAGCGTGCGGCCCTCCAGGGAGCACCCCCACCTGGATGGGCAAGGTTCAAGGAATTGGGAGGTGTGGGGAGAGAAGGGTGCATGAGAAGGGGTCTTCCAGGGCCTGGGCGGCGTACTTGACGAGGAGGACGGCCCAGTAGAGCGTGCGGCCCTCCAGGGAGCACCCCCACCTGGATGGGCAAGGTTCAAGGAATTGGGAGGTGTGGGGAGAGAAGGGTGCATGAGAAGGGGTCTTCCAGGGCCTGGGCGGCGTACTTGACGAGGAGGACGGCCCAGTAGAGCGTGCGGCCCTCCAGGGAGCACCCCCACCTGGATGGGCAAGGTTCAAGGAATTGGGAGGTGTGGGGAGAGAAGGGTGCATGAGAAGGGGTCTTCCAGGGCCTGGGCGGCGTACTTGACGAGGAGGACGGCCCAGTAGAGCGTGCGGCCCTCCAGGGAGCAACCCCACCTGGATGGGCAAGGTTCAAGGAATTGGGAGGTGTGGGGAGAGAAGGGTGCATGAGAAGGGGTCTTCCAGGGCCTGGGCGGCGTACTTGACGAGGAGGACGGCCCAGTAGAGCGTGCGGCCCTCCAGGGAGCACCCCCACCTGGATGGGCAAGGTTCAAGGAATTGGGAGGTGTGGGGAGAGAAGGGTGCATGAGAAGGGGTCTTCCAGGGCCTGGGCGGCGTACTTGACGAGGAGGACGGCCCAGTAGAGCGTGCGGCCCTCCAGGGAGCACCCCCACCTGGTTGGGAAGTGGGGAGAGGGGATTTGGTAATGGGGGGGTGTGAGGTGCGGCAGCCCTCTAGCGAGCACCCGCACCTAGTGCTTTCAAGAAGGGGGATTGGGGGTTGCTATTCAAGAAGAGGGCTTACAAGGGCTTCTGGACCAAGGGTGATTGTGATTGGAAGGGGGAGCAAGCAATGCCTTGCAGCACACTGTGGGAAGCAGGCAAGCACACTCACTTGGCGACACGGTGGGCGTTGGCGATCATGTGCTGGACCTGCTGGTCGTGTTGCCTGGCCCACTCCACGCGGTCAAAGAGGTCCCCAAAGAAGTGGTCCGTGGGGATGAAGTCTCTGTGAGCAACGACGACTCCTGAAGCAACGGCACTCACTTTGCAACGCGGTGGGCGTTGTTTATCATTTGCCGTACTTGCTGGTCGTGCTGCCGTGCCCACACCACGCGCTCAAAGAGGTCCCCAAAGAAGTGGCCTGTGGGGATGAAGTGCCGCCACGGCTGCAAGCAGGCAGCAACACTTACTTGGCAACGCGGTGCGCGTTGGCGATCATGTGGCGCACTTGGGAGTCGTGCTGTCTCGCCCACTCCACGCGCTCAAAGAGGTCCCCAAAGAAGTGATCCGCTGCTGCCTGTGGGGATGAAGAAGTTTACAGGAGCAACGGCACTCACTTTGCAACCCGGTGCGCGTTGGAAATCATCTGCCGCACTTGAGCATCGTGCTGTCTCGCCCACTCCACACGGTCAAAGAGGTCCCCAAAGAAGTGGTCCGTGGGGATGAAGTGCCGCCACGGCTGCAGCAGCGGCTGGTAAAACTGTGCAAAGGGCGTGTCCTGCCGAATCATGGCCTGTAAGTGAGGATGGGGAGAAGGGTGGACGGATGAGATGAGGTAGGAAAGACGCTCAGTTGACTTGGAAGCTATGTGTGCAGCAGCGGCTGGTAGAACTGCGCGAAGGGCGTGTCCTGCCTGATCATGGCCTGCACGTGAGGGTGGGGGGCAGCAGGAGGTCGCCATAAAAACTGATGCCATCTTAGACATGAACAGGGAGGGGTGAGGTGGGAGAGGTGAGGTGCGAGAGATGCTCGGTTAAGTTGGTAGTCATGGGTGCAGCAGGGGGTGGTAGAAGTTAGCAGAAGGAGGCGGAGACATCTAAGCTGGCCTGTGAATCACCCACTCTATCCACGGGTGCGATAGCGACTGGAAGAAGTGAGCCAAGGGTGTGTCTTGGCAGCAACAGAACATTGTGGTGAAACAAAGGAGATAGAACACATGACAGCAAGCTCACCTGGTCACTGCCGAGCACGCCACAGGTGCGGCAGGAGCCAGCGCCGCCATCTACGACAACCTCGTACTTGAAGCGCTGCGACTCTCAAGCACACACGACTTTCCAGCACACACAACAGGCTCACCTGGTCGCTGCCTAGTACGCCACAGGTGCGGCAGGAACCGGCCCCACCATCCACGACAACCTCGTACTTGAAGTGCTGTGACTCCGCCTTCTCCATCTTGGCCGCCTCGCTCAACCCGTCTCCCATCGCCCTGCATGCCACAATGCACGCACGGCAGGTAGTGAATCCGTGCACAGCACGTGATGCATGCACGCACGACACACAGAGCATGGCGAATGCATCAGGAAAGCAGACCATAGAACCCACACACAAAATTGGGAAATTGGTATGTCGGTAGCACATATGAAGCGCATCTACATGGTCCTCATTTCACAGGTTCTAGGTCGAAACAATTGCTCTCATGACACACTCCTTCCCATCTCACATGTTCCTGGTCTTGTCATCAACGAGTAGGCGCATGACTCGAGCATCCAGCAAATCTGGGCGCGCATCCGTCATTCTGCCACGCGTGCAGTCCGCCCCTGCACCCACGCCAACCGCACCCCACCGCAGTGGCACCCCATCCCAGCGACACCCAGTCACCCACAGCACCACCCACCCATTCATCCAAAGGTTTAACAGAAGAAGCCAATACCAAGTGCAGCAGGCACACAAGGAATGGGAACCAAGAGAACGGGAGGAACGAGGCAGGCAGTGTGCGCTGGACGAGACGACACAGCACAGGGGGGCTGAAAAATTCCGGGCAGGAAAGAACATGAGTAAGCAAGCTTGGGCGGGAAGGGGGACAAGAGATTTCAGGACGTGCAAGGCATGCGCGTACAAGGGCGCGTGAGAGTGTGGGAGGGCGTGGGATAAGAGGACATAGGCGGGCATGGGCGGGCGTGGGAGGGTATGGGAAGGCGGCGGGCAAGGCATGGGCGAGCATGGGCGTGGGTCTGACCGGTGGAGGCGGTAGCGCGGGCTGACTCGCCAGCGGTGGTCGGGACCGAGCTTGAAATTGGTGAACCCGCCCCTGAACACTGCCTTGCTCGCCTTCTGCTCCCAGGGGGTCTGAGATGGGGGGGGAGAGGGGACACGGAAGGAGAAGGAGTGTATGAAGCGAGGCGGACAGGGAGCAGCAGCGCCAGCGGTGGTCAGGGCCGAGCTTAAAGTTGGTGAACCCGCCCCTGAACACTGCTCTGCTCGCCTTCTGCTCCCAGGGGGTCTGAGAGAGGGGAGGGGGGCGGCAAGGAGGAGGGGACTATGTGAAGGAGGTGGACGGAGGGCAGCAGTGGGTAGCAGGAGAGGACCACGTGAACAGGCCTCACCACCCCTTACCTCGCCACTAGCCCTCACCTTGGCGTCTTTCCCTGCCTGGTAGCTCTCAGACAGGTCAAGCGGGTCAGGCACGATGATATCCAGCGTGCCAGGCAGCCACTCCGTGCTGAAAATGGGCCGTCCCCCGAAAATCCCACTCAGAGAGCTATCAAAGCTCTTGGGGAGGTCGCAGGTGGAGAGGAAGAGCTCGGCGCGCAGGGCGAGCAACCTAACATTCCTCACCTTGGCGTGCTTGCCTCATGCAACCTGCCAGCCCCGCAGCACCCCTCACCTTGGCATCCTTGCCAGCCTGGTAGCTCTCAGATAAATCCAGCGGGTCAGGCACAATGATATCCAGCGTGCCCGGCAGCCACTCAGTGCTGAAAACCAAACAGCCATCCCACCAACCACCCCTCACCAACCATCCCTCACCTTGGCGTCTTTCCCTGCCTGGTAGCTCTCAGACAGGTCAAGCGGGTCAGGCACGATGATATCCAGCGTGCCAGGCAGCCACTCCGTGCTGAAAATGGGCCGTCCCCCGAAAATCCCACTCAGAGAGCTATCAAAGCTCTTGGGGAGGTCGCAGGTGGAGAGGAAGAGCTCGGCGCGCAGGGCGAGCAACCTAACATTCCTCACCTTGGCGTGCTTGCCTCATGCAACCTGCCAGCCCCGCAGCACCCCTCACCTTGGCATCCTTGCCAGCCTGGTAGCTCTCAGATAAATCCAGCGGGTCAGGCACAATGATATCCAGCGTGCCCGGCAGCCACTCAGTGCTGAAAACCAAACAGCCATCCCACCAACCACCCCTCACCAACCATCCCTCACCTTGGCGTCTTTCCCTGCCTGGTAGCTCTCAGACAGGTCAAGCGGGTCAGGCACGATGATATCCAGCGTGCCAGGCAGCCACTCCGTGCTGAAAATGGGCCGTCCCCCGAAAATCCCACTCAGAGAGCTATCAAAGCTCTTGGGGAGGTCGCAGGTGGAGAGGAAGAGCTCGGCGCGCAGGGCGAGCAACCTAACATTCCTCACCTTGGCGTGCTTGCCTCATGCAACCTGCCAGCCCCGCAGCACCCCTCACCTTGGCATCCTTGCCAGCCTGGTAGCTCTCAGATAAATCCAGCGGGTCAGGCACAATGATATCCAGCGTGCCCGGCAGCCACTCAGTGCTGAAAACCAAACAGCCATCCCACCAACCACCCCTCACCAACCATCCCTCACCTTGGCGTCTTTCCCTGCCTGGTAGCTCTCAGACAGGTCAAGCGGGTCAGGCACGATGATATCCAGCGTGCCAGGCAGCCACTCCGTGCTGAAAATGGGCCGTCCCCCGAAAATCCCACTCAGAGAGCTATCAAAGCTCTTGGGGAGGTCGCAGGTGGAGAGGAAGAGCTCGGCGCGCAGGGCGAGCAACCTAACATTCCTCACCTTGGCGTGCTTGCCTCATGCAACCTGCCAGCCCCGCAGCACCCCTCACCTTGGCATCCTTGCCAGCCTGGTAGCTCTCAGATAAATCCAGCGGGTCAGGCACAATGATATCCAGCGTGCCCGGCAGCCACTCAGTGCTGAAAACCAAACAGCCATCCCACCAACCACCCCTCACCAACCATCCCTCACCTTGGCGTCTTTCCCTGCCTGGTAGCTCTCAGACAGGTCAAGCGGGTCAGGCACGATGATATCCAGCGTGCCAGGCAGCCACTCCGTGCTGAAAATGGGCCGTCCCCCGAAAATCCCACTCAGAGAGCTATCAAAGCTCTTGGGGAGGTCGCAGGTGGAGAGGAAGAGCTCGGCGCGCAGGGCGAGCAACCTAACATTCCTCACCTTGGCGTGCTTGCCTCATGCAACCTGCCAGCCCCGCAGCACCCCTCACCTTGGCATCCTTGCCAGCCTGGTAGCTCTCAGATAAATCCAGCGGGTCAGGCACAATGATATCCAGCGTGCCCGGCAGCCACTCAGTGCTGAAAACCAAACAGCCATCCCACCAACCACCCCTCACCAACCATCCCTCACCTTGGCGTCTTTCCCTGCCTGGTAGCTCTCAGACAGGTCAAGCGGGTCAGGCACGATGATATCCAGCGTGCCAGGCAGCCACTCCGTGCTGAAAATGGGCCGTCCCCCGAAAATCCCACTCAGAGAGCTATCAAAGCTCTTGGGGAGGTCGCAGGTGGAGAGGAAGAGCTCGGCGCGCAGGGCGAGCAACCTAACATTCCTCACCTTGGCGTGCTTGCCTCATGCAACCTGCCAGCCCCGCAGCACCCCTCACCTTGGCATCCTTGCCAGCCTGGTAGCTCTCAGATAAATCCAGCGGGTCAGGCACAATGATATCCAGCGTGCCCGGCAGCCACTCAGTGCTGAAAACCAAACAGCCATCCCACCAACCACCCCTCACCAACCATCCCTCACCTTGGCGTCTTTCCCTGCCTGGTAGCTCTCAGACAGGTCAAGCGGGTCAGGCACGATGATATCCAGCGTGCCAGGCAGCCACTCCGTGCTGAAAATGGGCCGTCCCCCGAAAATCCCACTCAGAGAGCTATCAAAGCTCTTGGGGAGGTCGCAGGTGGAGAGGAAGAGCTCGGCGCGCAGGGCGAGCAACCTAACATTCCTCACCTTGGCGTGCTTGCCTCATGCAACCTGCCAGCCCCGCAGCACCCCTCACCTTGGCATCCTTGCCAGCCTGGTAGCTCTCAGATAAATCCAGCGGGTCAGGCACAATGATATCCAGCGTGCCCGGCAGCCACTCAGTGCTGAAAACCAAACAGCCATCCCACCAACCACCCCTCACCAACCATCCCTCACCTTGGCGTCTTTCCCTGCCTGGTAGCTCTCAGACAGGTCAAGCGGGTCAGGCACGATGATATCCAGCGTGCCAGGCAGCCACTCCGTGCTGAAAATGGGCCGTCCCCCGAAAATCCCACTCAGAGAGCTATCAAAGCTCTTGGGGAGGTCGCAGGTGGAGAGGAAGAGCTCGGCGCGCAGGGCGAGCAACCTAACATTCCTCACCTTGGCGTGCTTGCCTCATGCAACCTGCCAGCCCCGCAGCACCCCTCACCTTGGCATCCTTGCCAGCCTGGTAGCTCTCAGATAAATCCAGCGGGTCAGGCACAATGATATCCAGCGTGCCCGGCAGCCACTCAGTGCTGAAAACCAAACAGCCATCCCACCAACCACCCCTCACCAACCATCCCTCACCTTGGCGTCTTTCCCTGCCTGGTAGCTCTCAGACAGGTCAAGCGGGTCAGGCACGATGATATCCAGCGTGCCAGGCAGCCACTCCGTGCTGAAAATGGGCCGTCCCCCGAAAATCCCACTCAGAGAGCTATCAAAGCTCTTGGGGAGGTCGCAGGTGGAGAGGAAGAGCTCGGCGCGCAGGGCGAGCAACCTAACATTCCTCACCTTGGCGTGCTTGCCTCATGCAACCTGCCAGCCCCGCAGCACCCCTCACCTTGGCATCCTTGCCAGCCTGGTAGCTCTCAGATAAATCCAGCGGGTCAGGCACAATGATATCCAGCGTGCCCGGCAGCCACTCAGTGCTGAAAACCAAACAGCCATCCCACCAACCACCCCTCACCAACCATCCCTCACCTTGGCGTCTTTCCCTGCCTGGTAGCTCTCAGACAGGTCAAGCGGGTCAGGCACGATGATATCCAGCGTGCCAGGCAGCCACTCCGTGCTGAAAATGGGCCGTCCCCCGAAAATCCCACTCAGAGAGCTATCAAAGCTCTTGGGGAGGTCGCAGGTGGAGAGGAAGAGCTCGGCGCGCAGGGCGAGCAACCTAACATTCCTCACCTTGGCGTGCTTGCCTCATGCAACCTGCCAGCCCCGCAGCACCCCTCACCTTGGCATCCTTGCCAGCCTGGTAGCTCTCAGATAAATCCAGCGGGTCAGGCACAATGATATCCAGCGTGCCCGGCAGCCACTCAGTGCTGAAAACCAAACAGCCATCCCACCAACCACCCCTCACCAACCATCCCTCACCTTGGCGTCTTTCCCTGCCTGGTAGCTCTCAGACAGGTCAAGCGGGTCAGGCACGATGATATCCAGCGTGCCAGGCAGCCACTCCGTGCTGAAAATGGGCCGTCCCCCGAAAATCCCACTCAGAGAGCTATCAAAGCTCTTGGGGAGGTCGCAGGTGGAGAGGAAGAGCTCGGCGCGCAGGGCGAGCAACCTAACATTCCTCACCTTGGCGTGCTTGCCTCATGCAACCTGCCAGCCCCGCAGCACCCCTCACCTTGGCATCCTTGCCAGCCTGGTAGCTCTCAGATAAATCCAGCGGGTCAGGCACAATGATATCCAGCGTGCCCGGCAGCCACTCAGTGCTGAAAACCAAACAGCCATCCCACCAACCACCCCTCACCAACCATCCCTCACCTTGGCGTCTTTCCCTGCCTGGTAGCTCTCAGACAGGTCAAGCGGGTCAGGCACGATGATATCCAGCGTGCCAGGCAGCCACTCCGTGCTGAAAATGGGCCGTCCCCCGAAAATCCCACTCAGAGAGCTATCAAAGCTCTTGGGGAGGTCGCAGGTGGAGAGGAAGAGCTCGGCGCGCAGGGCGAGCAACCTAACATTCCTCACCTTGGCGTGCTTGCCTCATGCAACCTGCCAGCCCCGCAGCACCCCTCACCTTGGCATCCTTGCCAGCCTGGTAGCTCTCAGATAAATCCAGCGGGTCAGGCACAATGATATCCAGCGTGCCCGGCAGCCACTCAGTGCTGAAAACCAAACAGCCATCCCACCAACCACCCCTCACCAACCATCCCTCACCTTGGCGTCTTTCCCTGCCTGGTAGCTCTCAGACAGGTCAAGCGGGTCAGGCACGATGATATCCAGCGTGCCAGGCAGCCACTCCGTGCTGAAAATGGGCCGTCCCCCGAAAATCCCACTCAGAGAGCTATCAAAGCTCTTGGGGAGGTCGCAGGTGGAGAGGAAGAGCTCGGCGCGCAGGGCGAGCAACCTAACATTCCTCACCTTGGCGTGCTTGCCTCATGCAACCTGCCAGCCCCGCAGCACCCCTCACCTTGGCATCCTTGCCAGCCTGGTAGCTCTCAGATAAATCCAGCGGGTCAGGCACAATGATATCCAGCGTGCCCGGCAGCCACTCAGTGCTGAAAACCAAACAGCCATCCCACCAACCACCCCTCACCAACCATCCCTCACCTTGGCGTCTTTCCCTGCCTGGTAGCTCTCAGACAGGTCAAGCGGGTCAGGCACGATGATATCCAGCGTGCCAGGCAGCCACTCCGTGCTGAAAATGGGCCGTCCCCCGAAAATCCCACTCAGAGAGCTATCAAAGCTCTTGGGGAGGTCGCAGGTGGAGAGGAAGAGCTCGGCGCGCAGGGCGAGCAACCTAACATTCCTCACCTTGGCGTGCTTGCCTCATGCAACCTGCCAGCCCCGCAGCACCCCTCACCTTGGCATCCTTGCCAGCCTGGTAGCTCTCAGATAAATCCAGCGGGTCAGGCACAATGATATCCAGCGTGCCCGGCAGCCACTCAGTGCTGAAAACCAAACAGCCATCCCACCAACCACCCCTCACCAACCATCCCTCACCTTGGCGTCTTTCCCTGCCTGGTAGCTCTCAGACAGGTCAAGCGGGTCAGGCACGATGATATCCAGCGTGCCAGGCAGCCACTCCGTGCTGAAAATGGGCCGTCCCCCGAAAATCCCACTCAGAGAGCTATCAAAGCTCTTGGGGAGGTCGCAGGTGGAGAGGAAGAGCTCGGCGCGCAGGGCGAGCAACCTAACATTCCTCACCTTGGCGTGCTTGCCTCATGCAACCTGCCAGCCCCGCAGCACCCCTCACCTTGGCATCCTTGCCAGCCTGGTAGCTCTCAGATAAATCCAGCGGGTCAGGCACAATGATATCCAGCGTGCCCGGCAGCCACTCAGTGCTGAAAACCAAACAGCCATCCCACCAACCACCCCTCACCAACCATCCCTCACCTTGGCGTCTTTCCCTGCCTGGTAGCTCTCAGACAGGTCAAGCGGGTCAGGCACGATGATATCCAGCGTGCCAGGCAGCCACTCCGTGCTGAAAATGGGCCGTCCCCCGAAAATCCCACTCAGAGAGCTATCAAAGCTCTTGGGGAGGTCGCAGGTGGAGAGGAAGAGCTCGGCGCGCAGGGCGAGCAACCTAACATTCCTCACCTTGGCGTGCTTGCCTCATGCAACCTGCCAGCCCCGCAGCACCCCTCACCTTGGCATCCTTGCCAGCCTGGTAGCTCTCAGATAAATCCAGCGGGTCAGGCACAATGATATCCAGCGTGCCCGGCAGCCACTCAGTGCTGAAAACCAAACAGCCATCCCACCAACCACCCCTCACCAACCATCCCTCACCTTGGCGTCTTTCCCTGCCTGGTAGCTCTCAGACAGGTCAAGCGGGTCAGGCACGATGATATCCAGCGTGCCAGGCAGCCACTCCGTGCTGAAAATGGGCCGTCCCCCGAAAATCCCACTCAGAGAGCTATCAAAGCTCTTGGGGAGGTCGCAGGTGGAGAGGAAGAGCTCGGCGCGCAGGGCGAGCAACCTAACATTCCTCACCTTGGCGTGCTTGCCTCATGCAACCTGCCAGCCCCGCAGCACCCCTCACCTTGGCATCCTTGCCAGCCTGGTAGCTCTCAGATAAATCCAGCGGGTCAGGCACAATGATATCCAGCGTGCCCGGCAGCCACTCAGTGCTGAAAACCAAACAGCCATCCCACCAACCACCCCTCACCAACCATCCCTCGCCTTGGCGTCTTTCCCTGCCTGGTAGCTCTCAGACAGGTCAAGCGGGTCAGGCACGATGATATCCAGCGTGCCAGGCAGCCACTCCGTGCTGAAAATGGGCCGTCCCCCGAAAATCCCACTCAGAGAGCTATCAAAGCTCTTGGGGAGGTCGCAGGTGGAGAGGAAGAGCTCGGCGCGCAGGGCGAGCAACCTAACATTCCTCACCTTGGCGTGCTTGCCTCATGCAACCTGCCAGCCCCGCAGCACCCCTCACCTTGGCATCCTTGCCAGCCTGGTAGCTCTCAGATAAATCCAGCGGGTCAGGCACAATGATATCCAGCGTGCCCGGCAGCCACTCAGTGCTGAAAACCAAACAGCCATCCCACCAACCACCCCTCACCAACCATCCCTCACCTTGGCGTCTTTCCCTGCCTGGTAGCTCTCAGACAGGTCAAGCGGGTCAGGCACGATGATATCCAGCGTGCCAGGCAGCCACTCCGTGCTGAGGATGGGCCGCCTGCGGAAGATCAAACTGCCACCCCCCCAGACCATCCCTCACCACCACCCCTCAACGACCGCCCCTCACCAACCACCCCTCACCTTGGCGTCCTTCCCCGCCTGGTAGCTCTCAGATAGATCAAGCGGGTCAGGAACAATAATATCCAGCGTGCCAGGTAGCCACTCCGTGCTGAAAATCGGCCGTCCCCCGAAGATCCCACTCAGCGAGCTGTCGAAGCTCTTGGGGAGGTCGCAGGTGGAGAGGAAGAGCTCGGCGCGCAGGGCGAGCAGGGAGTAGTGGCGGATGGCGGCCTGAATGAGCTTGACGGACTGCACAAAGCGGTGCAGGCGGTCCCACTGGTAGTGGAAGCCCCCGTAGCGGAAGAACACCTGCCCATCAATGATGCGGATATGCCCTGAACAGGACATGAACTGATGAGGGGGATAAGTGTGGGGAGGGATGGGAGAAAGGAAGGGCTGTTGAGGTGCAGTGCGGGCTAAAGGCGGTCCAACTGGTAGTGGAAGCCGCCATAGCGGAAATACACCTGCCCGTCCGTCCATGATGCGGATGTGACCAGAGCATGACATGAACTGGCGGGTGGTGAAGAAGGGGTCAAGAGGAAAGGACGATAACAAGGGAGAGAAGGGGGAAGGAGTAGAATCGTGAACATGACGGGACGTGAGAGGGATTGGTGAGAGCAGTTAGAGAGAAGGTAGATGAGGGTAGGCGGAGAGAGCCGCAGGGGGTGTGGCGTGGCGGACAGGTTCATGCGTTGCGTTCTCATCTGAGACGCCTCAAACCAAACCGCCACAGAGGGACAAAAAAGAACGTTTCTGACAGCTGCCAACAAGCACAACTCACCCCGGGTTCAGACGCCACGTATTGCAGCATGGCCTGTGAAATTATGCCACGTGGCTCCTCCTCCTCCACCGCCCTTCTTCCCACCCTTCTTCCCCAGCCTCGAGCCCATCCAGGGGTGAAGGTACATGTCAGCGATGCATGCAAAGCGCCTGACGGCCTCGTCGGAGCGGTTGAGCTTGGGGAGAGTGGCACGGGGAACGGACCGGACAGATTCAAGAGCTTTGAGACGTAGAAACACTCACCCCGGGTTCAGACGCCACGTATTGAAGCATGGCCTGTGAAATGATGCCACGTGGCTCCTCCTCCACCTCCTCCTTTCCTCTCTTCCCCTTCTTCCCCAGCAAGCTCGAGCCCATCCAGGGCCGAAGGTAGGTGTCCGCGATGCAGGCAAAGCGCCTGACGGCCTCATCGGAGCGGTTGAGCTTGGGGAACGCCGCGAGCTGCCGTGTGCAGTCTGGCAGCGATGCCAGGTCGCCCTGCGTGGGTAGCACCTGCCCGAATGGCACCGCCTGCTGTGGTGGCGGCTGCTGCGGCGGCTGTTGCGGTGGCTGCTGCTGCTGCTGTGGCGGCTTTGGTTCTGACTGCTTGTTCTCGGTAGCGGTGCTCTTTCCAGGCGAAGTGGCTGTGTCGCTGGGGTCAGCAGTAGCAGAGGACTGCTTGGCTTCAGGCGATCGAGATAAGGATGCGGGACTTGCGGACGAGGTGTCAGCTGCACTGTTGGCTGAGTCAGCAGCGTCGTTGGATGAGTCAGCAGGCACGGTCTGGCGCAGGAAGCTGGGGCCGTCGGTAGAGGAAGTCCACGCGGCCGCGCTCTCTCGCTGCAGTCGACTGCCTGGACTCTCGTCCATCTGCGCACACCATCAGCGTCACGTAATAATAAATTGTCACGTAATAATAAATTGTCACGTATTAATGAAATTTCTCTGAGACAAAACCGTTCATTCCCTCGCTGCAGGCGACTGCCTGGACTCTCGTCCATCTGCGCACACCGGCGATCCCGCATCAGCCGTTACGGGCCACCGCACATCACGCGGAACTTGTGTGTATTTTTTTTGACTGAAACGCGTTCGCACTATCGCATGCACGCATTCGGAAAGACAGATGCACAAATGTGAAAGTGGAAGGCGCGAAGGCAGAAGGAGCGAAGGCGTTACCAGCGAGGCGGTGAACACGGCGAGTCGTCGTCTGTGCGTCGCGGTGTTACTCGTAGCTGACGGTAATGACGTGGCGAGAACGATAAGTTGAAGCAACGACACGGTAACACTCAAAAGTTTCGCCATTCTGACGTCTGATTTGACGAAACAACCTAGTAATTGTCTGAGAAGCGTAAAAGGTGAAAGAGCATCCCTGCTTTCAGACTCTAAGCGCAATAAGGTTAGTAATCGAAATGCTGATCAGGCCATAGATTTTAATGGTTAGTTAAGGTTCTAAACGACTTGGGAATACGGTCATTGAGGCAAAAGCTGACCAACCCAGGTCTGGATATACGGTCGTCTATAATCCAGGAAACTAATGCCTGAAGAATTCAGGCCATCTGAACTGAGCACGCCATAAGATAACATCGTTGAAGTTCAGCGGTAGGCCATCTGACAAGCAGGAGGGAGCATCAGGGACAATAGGGTGGAAAAGGGGGAGTGGAGTTGCGTGTGACGCGCGGTGTGGAGGCTGTGGGGAGGAGAGTGGGTTGGTTGGATAAGGAGAGCCGTGAATTGTGATAAGCTGCTGGCCACTTGCTGGCGGGGGGTGAAGGTGTCCTCGATTAGAAGCGCATCGCAACAATAACTATGACACTTATGCCTGCAGGCCTTGGAAAAACCGTACAAGAATTCTGCAAGTACAACCACTAAGTCAGGTTCTTGCAATAGGCCGTGCGAAACGTGGTAACAGGTCGTTTAAAGGTGCGGAACTTTCATCGCAGCAAGCCCAACCTGGTCAGCTCCCATCTTCCTCCATGCCAATGTTCCGCAGATCTCGCAATCACAGATCTTTCAAACCCTCATCTTAGCTTCCGTTCTTTCAAACCCTTGCATCTCCGCTTATCGCGCTCGTATTAGAATAGTAGATTTAGTTTCTTCGACTTTCTCTTCCCTTAAAAATCATATAGCCATGGCCGAATCCGCGTCGAAGGTCATTCACGTGCGCAATGTGCCATCTGAGGCCACGGAGGTGAGGATTTCGAGCATTTTCGTAATTCACAGTATTTTTTTCGTTCTTGTCGCTAATATATCAATCTCGGTGTTATTCTCTTCTGCAGCTCGATGTGCAGCAGTTGGCGCAGAACTTCGGACCCGTGCAAAGGGTCGTCGTCATGAGGGCCAAGAACCAGGTTCGATTCTTCTCCCACTTTGTCTTCTTTTATTGTGTCTTTCCTCCTGCTCGGTCAATTCTTCAGTTTCTCTCTTTTTTGTTCATTGATGTATTTTCGTGGTTTCTTGCAGGCCCTCATTGAGATGCAGGACATTGCCGCTGCGATCAATATGATCCAATTTTATACTGGCGTGCAGGCCTCCATCAAGTAAGTACTAGTTATCATTCCAGATATTTTGATCCGTCTGTCATGCTTCATGGCACTATAGATTCAGTTCATCCGTTCTTTGCCGATAAATCTACTTAACCTCGCGTAGCCATGTAACGATGTAACCGTGTAACCATGTGCAGGGGGAGGAACGTGTACTGCCAGTTCTCCTCGCATCAGGTCCTCACGCCTAACGAGAATCAGGGCAGGACGCACCAGGAGGTACGTGAATTCATGTCAACGGAGGAATTCTGGAGGTGCGACGGATCAGGCAATAGCGGGAATTATCTCACGGAGAGCATGCTAGCCGTCCGACGACAAGGAGTCGCGGATCGGCCGTCCCTATTCCTCTTCCCCTCCACTGCCCTCGTTCCTTTCCGTACCTTCCCTGTACCTTTCCGCCTTTCTGCATCTTTCTCTGCCTTTCCGTACCTTTCTCCACCTTTCCATACCTTCTCCGTCGTTCTCTCTCATCCGTACTTCAGATCTTACCCTCTCCCTCTCTCTCCCCTCCTCTCTCCTCCCACTCTCTCCCCCCTCTCCTCCCTCTCTCTCCCCCATCTCCTTCCCGTTCCTCTCTCGTCTCGCCAGGGTGCCCCTAACCGCATTATTCTAGTCACAATCCACAACCCGCTCTATCCAATCAACGTGGATGTGCTTCACCAAGTCTTTTCTCCCCATGGCTTTGTTGAGAAGATCGTCACTTTCCAGAAAGCTGCTGGTCCGACCTCCCTCTCCCTTCCCTCTTCCCTTCCTCCCTCCCTCTCTCTCTCTCGCTCTTGCACCCTTTCCTGCCTTCTGTTCCTTCCGTCCTTCCTTTCCTTCTTCTCTTTCCGCGCCTTCCTTTCCTTCTGCTCCCTCTCGTCTGCTCTAACCGCGACCAAAGTACCCCCGGGGGGGTATCGGTACGTTGGTCGTCCTCCGCCGGAGGGAGGGCTCAGCCTCTCCCCTCAATCGCGGGAAACTCGATCGCCGAGCTCTGTTTTCTCATCCGCGGCCTGTGCTCTTGCCTCCCGTGCTGCTGCCTCTCGTGCTGCCTCGTGCGCGCCCTGCCCTTTCACCCGTTCCCCCCCGGCGCTGCGCGGAGCAGGGCTGCAGGCGCTGGTGCAGTACAACAACCAGGCGAGCGCGGCGGCCGCCAAGACCAACCTGCAGGGCCGCAACATCTACGACGGCTGCTGCACGCTCGACATCCAGTTCTCCAAGTACGGTTCGCCTTGTTATGTATACATGTTCTCTACGGCCCCGCGCACCCCACCCACCCTCCGTCCACCCCCCGTCCCCCCTCCCTCCCCCCCCTCCCCCCTTCCCCCCTTTCCCTTTTCAAAATCCAACTCTGATTTTTGCCTGAAGGACTTGTTTCTCGAGAAATCCACCGAGTAGGGTCTGTCCCACTGGGCGGCCGTTTTAAGCTCGACGAACTAGCTTCGTTGCGTTGCACGCGTGTCCATACTGATGGTCGTTACAAGTTCCAACGGTGCTGGTCCGAACAGATAGTTACGTTGGCGGTAACAGTAGTCCTCACAATGTGTGTGTGCCTGTGCCTTTCTGCTCACGTGTGTGTGTGTGCGCGCGTGGGAATGGGTGGTGGGGAAAGTGGGGAAGGGCGGCGGGGAGGGGGGAGGGGGGAGGGGGGGGGGAGGGGACGGTGGTGATGGTGGTTGTGGTGGTCATGGTGGTGGCGGCGGTGGTGATGGTGTGCGTGCATGCGCGGTGTGCAGTTTGAGCGAGCTACAGGTGCATTACAACAACGAGCGCACCAGGGACTATGTCAACCAGCTTCCCGATCAGCCTGGCAAGGCGCCCATGATGGTACGCACGCACGCACGCACGCATACCACTGCTCACTGCCCGCCGCAATCCCTGTCCTCTCAAGTTACACCCCTCGCCCGTTGTGTTACTGACACGTTTTCTGTTCGTTTTTCTCTGTACTATGCCTTCTCCCGCGTTCTCAGCAAACGTCCCTTTTTGGCGAGGGGGGGAACGTGTATGGCGCCATGCCTGGGCAACGGCCGGGTGTGTTCCCGGGACAGATGGGGCAAATGGGGCAGATGGGGCAGATGGGACAGATGGGGCAACCAGGCATGCCGCAGCCTGGCATGGGCGGCCTCAACGCTTACGGGGTGAGCCCTTTTGCCTTCTGCGTGTCTTGGTCGTTCTGCTGCTGTTTACTTGTGTCTTTCCCGCTGCTGCTGCCGCCGCCGCCACTGCTGCCTTTGCCACTGCTGCTGCTGCGGCTTACAACGCAAGTTGGAGCTTCCTTTGTGTGGTTTTTGTCATTGATGGGGTTCTGCTCTGTATGTTCTATGTGTGCAGAACCCTGGCATGGCAGCAGCAGCGGCGGCGCAGATGTTTGGGGGCAACCTGCCCCCTGGTGTGACGGGCACCAACGACCGCTGCACACTGCTCATCTCCAACATCAACCACGAGGTACGCTGAGGTTGCTGACCTGATGCATCCCGCGAGGTTGCATGTAGAGAGTTGCTGCTGCAAACGTGCTCACCGTATGCTGTTGCCCTGTTCCAAATAATCCCCTTACCCTACCCGTATGCTTTCCATTCCTGAGCGTTTCCCGTTTCACACACAACCTCTCCTCTTGTATCTTCTCCTTGAACCCATCACAGGTGGTGGACGCGGACAAGCTGTTCAACCTCGTGTCAAACTATGGCAACGTGGTGTCACAACCACCCAGTCCATCCCTCCATGCCCCCCGTCCCCTCCCTAACATCCCAGGTGGTGGGCGCGGACAAGCTGTTCAACCTGGTGTCAAACTACGGCAATGTGGTGCGCATCAAGTTCCTGCACAACAAGCCCGACCACGCACTCGTACAGCTCGCCGATGGTCTGCAGGCGGAGCTCGCTCTCACTTACCTCAAGGTGTGTTGCCATCTACTGGCATGTGCCGCCATGCGCTGCGCTCCCATGTGGTGGGTGAGCCCTGTCTGCCTGCCTTGCTGCGTGCGGTGTGCTTCAAGCCCGACCATGCCTTTGTGAGCTCGCTGACGGGCTGCAGGCACAGCTCGCTGTCACTTACCTCAAGGTATGCCGTTTGCTTAGTGTGCTGCCACGTGTTTAGGTGAACCATGGCCAGATACACCCTCACTCTGTTATCCATTCCTCTCACACCCCTTAGCTCAAATCTGCCCTCCTATGGGCTCCCTCCGCACCCCCTCCCCTTAACCTCCTCGTCCCGACTCCTTTCCTCCGTCCCCTTGCCAGGGCGCCGCTGTCTTCGGTAAGCGGCTGGAGGTGAACTATTCCAAGTACCCGTCCATCAACCCGTCAGCCGACACCAAGGACTACTCCACATCCAACCTGAACCGCTTCGGCCGCAACGCGCCCAAGAACTACCGCCACTGCTGCGCGCCCACGCGCATGCTGCACTGCAGCAACCTGCCTGCTGATGCCACTCCAGACATGGTGGTGGAGCACATGGCACCGCACGGGCCTGTGCTGGGTAGTAAGGTGATTGACAAGGACGGGAAGAAGCAGGTTCTCGTGCTGTTCGAGACTGTTGAGGCTGCGACTGATGCGCTTACGGCGAAGCATGCGACTCCGATTGGTGGGCAGGTTATCCGGCTTGCCTTCTCCAAGAGCCAAAATCTGTAGGGGGTTGTTGGGGGGGGGTTAGGAGACTGGTGCAGGTGCAGCGCTGACCTGGTGGTGGCGCACATGACCCCGCATGGGCCCGTGCTGGGGTCCAAGGTGATTGACAAGGACGGCAAGAAGCAGGTGCTCGTGCTGTTTGAGACGGTGGAGGCTGCGACCGATGTGCTTACGGCGAAGCGTGCCACGCCCATTGGTGGGCAGGTTATCCGGATCGCCTTCTCCAAGAGCCAAAATCTTTAGGGTGGACTAGGGTTGTGGATGAGTAGAGCTGGCCACTGCATAGTTGCCCTTTGGCCGCTTGGGTGTTGGTTCTGCTGGCTTGATGAATCATTGAAAGTGCAATTGTGAATGTTACATGAGGGCAAACGCCATCTATTGTTTGGCTACACCCCAATTTAAGCATGAAGACAGGAAAGGAAAGTACACTAAAGTACACTATACCATAGGTCAATAAGCTACTGGTACTGTATGCTATGGAAGTGTGAATACGGTATGGTAGTCCCTAGCTAAACATGTGTGGCATGGGCCGGACTGCCATAAATGCATCCACCATCTGCGCGCATTGGGGGGGGGGGGGGGGGGGAGGGAGATACCGTAAGACATTGCAGATGCAGTAAGATGGGGAACAGATAAAGAGGGACACATGAGTGGGGTGAGGGCCAGACAGGTGAGTGCGAGACAGGTGAGTGTTTGCAAAGAACAGTGTGTGTGACTGATTGACCTCGTCAGCATGAGGCACTCACTCACCTCGTCTGTGACACAAGCGCGCGCCTTCTGATGACGCTTCACCATCGCAGTCAACACCTCCACCCATGGAAACAGATGAGCATGAGAATGGGAGTGACGTGAGCAGTGTGACTGACTGACCTCGTCAGTGGGAGGGACTAACCTCATCGGTGACAAGAGCGCGCGCCTTCTGATGTCGCTCCACCATGGCAGTTAACACCTCCACCAGCCGCCCCTTCACCTCCCCTGTCAGCATGCGCCCTGCCCCGTACTCCTGGAGGGATGGGGAGCAATGAAGAAGGCGAACATGGGATGGGAGCATTGGAGAAGAGGAGCAAGGAACGGGAGTGATGACAAGGCATCAAGCACATGATGCCACCCGCATGATGCCAAGTGACATGTGCCAAACTGCCCAGCATCATGCTCTCACCCCATGCTGCACCCCATGCTGCACCCCATGCTGCTCTCAACGTTTTACTCTGTTCCCACACACCACAACTGCACAGCACAGCGCCACGGCTCTCACCGTTTTGATGTGCTCCAGCTCATTGTCATCATCAAGGAAGAAGGAGAGGTACTTCACTGGCACATCGACCTGCAGGCGTGGGTGGGGATGGGTGGGGATGGGTGGGGATGTTTGGGCATGGCATGAGACGGCATGGGTGCCTGGAAGAAGGAGAGGTACTTCACTGGCACGTCCACCTGCTGGCATGAGACAAGTTGAGACGATAAGTAGAAAAAGCATGACCACTGTGGCCGTGGCTGGGGATGGCACGAGACAAGCCAACTTTTGAGGCGCCTCAGAAACCAAGAAACGTGAAATCCCAGCCGTCCAGCACTCTCACCTCGAGGTTCGCTCCCTTGGCTCGGTGCTCCTCGATGGTTGCTCCACCACCCGAAAAGGCATACCGGTTGATCTGATGGGAGAATGAGAGCGCAGGGCGGACAGTGGGGAGAGGGAGAAGTAAAATGTAATGGTTTTGGGGTGGTGGGCGCATGGGGTCACTGAGATTACTTTTGAGTACACTCAAGCACACACACCATGCCAATGCTCCCCGCTCACCTTGTTTTTGATCTCCTTGGGCGAGTCCGTGACAAAGACTGCTGAGTTGGGGTCACTGGCGCTCATCTTGCCGCTCTCGCCCTGCGCACATACCCAGCAGCAGCATCATCAATGCACAGAGAAGCGAAAGAGAAAAATAGAGAGAGGCGAGGTGGCACATAGGGGCGGAAGCCATGGTTCTGTTGAGAGAGCATGCGGGGCGCTCTGCATTCCCACTATTTCCACCAGTCCCCATCACCCCACACCACCTCTCACCACCCCCAGTTTGCCCCCACCCTCTGACCTGCAGGGCGGGGAAGAAGCGCGACTCGATGAGCGCTGGCTTGTGGAAGCCCAGGCGCGGAGCACAGTCACGCGTCATGCGGAAATAGGGGTCCTGGTGGGGGGACACGTGTGGGGGGGAGAGAGAGGGGATGCGACCAGAGGGAGTGCGATTGGGGGGGGAGATGGGGGGCATTGCGAGCCCAAGCATGGGGCATTGCGAGCCCAAGCATGGGGCATTGCGAGCCCAAGCATGGGGCATTGCGAGCCCAAGCATGGGGCATTGCGAGCCCAAGCATGGGGCATTGCGAGCCCAAGCATGGGGCATTGCGAGCCCAAGCATGGGGCACAGTTACAGGACATAAGGATCCTGGTTGGAGAAGTTGGGGAGGGGGAGAGGAAATGACAGGAAGAATTGGGTTTCGGCATTGGTGGCATGACATGGCATGGCGCGGTGCACAGTGCACACACCTGGTCGATGGCATGTGGAATGAGGCATCGCACTTCGTTCTTGCGGCCAAACAGGTGGGGGAAGGACGAGGGGCACGCTGGAGCAGCCTGGGAGGCTCAGGCAGACAGCGGGAGCAGGGAGCACGGGAGGAGAGGGTTGGTGTGCGGGCACTGCGGGGAGTAGAAATTAAACGGTGAGGCAGCGGAGCGGCAGGGAGGGAGAGGACGACAGTGGGAGCGAGGGTGGTCGAGGAATTGGAAGGTGTGGGAGAGGGAGGGCGCGATGGTGGGGGTGAGGTGGGGGTGGAGGGAAGGATGGAGGAGGGTGGGGGAGAGTGGAAGAGGGTAGGGGTTGGGGAGAGGGTGGCACCTGAACGGGTGGGAAGCCCACTTTGCCGATGCAATCCTCACCGTCGAATCCAAAGATGCCCCTTGCCTGATACGGTGACATGTGAATGTGACGCACGATAACAGTGATGTGATGTGATATGATATGATGTGATATGATGTGATGTGATGTGATATGATGTGATGTGATATGATGTGATGTGATATGATGTCATATGATGCATTTGAATCAGCAAAATTTGGAGAAACAAAGTGGATAACGTGAGAGCAGATAAACCGAATCCTCGGCCAACTTCTAAATCAAATCCCCTCCCAACAGTCAGGAAGTTAGAGTGACACATCTGAATCAGATTGGCGCCTTGCCTGGTTGAGAGTCACACATCGCGCGATCTTCACAATGTTTTGATAGAAGTCCCTGCCACCACACAACCATGCACGCACGCACACACGCATGCACGATCCAAGACAGGTCGCACCAGTTGAACGTTCTTTCAACGTCCAGCCGTCATGCAATGATGCCCCCTTACGCTCTCCACACTCACTTTCAACCAGCCATACACCCACTCTCTTCCCACTCCTCCCCTCCAACTGCCCTCCCAAAGAAACGCACCCGCTCACATAGTCAAAGTCACAGAAGATGAATCATGAAGGTTCTTGCGACATCAAAGCCACATGCGATGATGCCCTTCCTTGGTGTTCTCCCTCGCACTCACTCACGCTATGCCATTGCCAACCATCCAACCCACCCCGCCCTCCCACGAAACGCACCCGCCGATGTAGTCAAAGTCACAGAAGATGAATGTCCATGAGACATCAAACCCGCACGCAATGATGTCCTTGGCATTCTCCCTCGCCGCCTCACACACACACTCACCCTGCCTCGCCATCCCCTCGTACCCCAAACCAATCACCACTCACCTGCCCACGTAGTCAAAGTCACAGAAGATGAATGTCCGTGAAACGTCAAAGCCGCACGCAATGATATCCTTGGCGTTCTCCCTCGCAAGCCGCCGTGCCTCCTCCACACTCATGCTCTTCCACAGATACTTCTCATCGTCTGTGAGTTGGATGACCAAGGGGACCTTAAATGCTTCTTGTAGCCACCTGGGTGTGTTGTGTTGGCGGGGGTGAGATGGATGAAAGGTAAATTGGGTGCCCCATCCCCCTCCTCCACACTCATGCTCTTCCACAGGTACTTCTCGTCGTCTGTAAGCTGGATCACCAGAGGGACTTTGAATGCTTCTTGTAGCCATCTGAAGGGGTGAGAGAGAAAGACAGGCTATGTTGGTCAACCCCTCCTCCACACTCATGCTCTTCCACAGATACTTCTCATCGAGTGTCAGCTGGATGACGAGAGGGACCTAGAACGCATCTTGTAGCCACCTGTTGGTGTGAAGGAGACAGAGAGACGGGAAGAACAGTGCTAATCAATGCCTCCTCCACGCTCATGCTCTTCCACAGATACTTCTCATCGAGTGTCAGTTGGATGACGAGAGGGACCTAGAACGCATCTTGTAGCCACCTGTTGGTGTGAAGGAGATCGGCCAAAGAAATCAACTGTGGCGAGGCGATCAACCCTTCCTCCTCCACTCGCATGCTCTTCCACGGATACTTCTCGTCGTCTGTCAGTTGAATCACCAGAGGGTCTTTGAATGCTTCTTGTAGTCACCTGGGAGTGTTGAGAGGGTGAGGAAGATGACAAGTAGCTGTGGCAGATCATCCCCTCCTCCACACTCACGCTCTGCTCTTCCACGGATACTTCTCGGCGTTGGCTGACCGGACAACAAGAGGCGCTATGAACTTTCAGCAGCTACTGGTGCCATGACTCTGCAGCATGTCAAGACTCAAGATGCACGACGCACAACCCACGAATCCCAACGCGCGGCTCACTTGGTGAACATGAAGGGGATGAGATGCCCCAGGTGCAGCGCCTCGGATGACGGGCCTCGCCCCGTGTACAGGTAGAACCGCTCGCCCTTCTCCACCGCGTCTAGGATCTTGTCGAAGTCGCTGGAGGGTTAGAGGGCGGTAGAGGGAGGTGGAAGGGGGGTAGAGAGGGTTAGAGAGGGGTTGAGGGGGGTACGGGGAGTGGACAGGGGAAGAAGAGAGGGAAGGGAGGGGGTGAAAGGGAAGAAAGAGGAGTATGGAAGATCAAGGGAAGGGGGCGCGCGATGACTAGGGTCCTCGCCTGATGTACACGTGGAGCGGATCACCCATCTCCACCGCATTCGGCCCCTCGCCCCCCGCCCCTCCCCCCACCCCCTCTCGCTCCCGCCCCTCGCCCCCCGCCCCTCGCTCCCGCCCCTCGCTCCTAGCCCCAAGCTCCTAGATCCTAGCCTCTAGTTGTCGCTCCAATCACACCGCGCCGATAGCCTTGCGCTAGGCCCTGCGCTTGGCGCACAGCGCGCGGGCGGGACGAGGGTCGTCGCGAAGAGAGATTGGCGCTAGCCCCTGCGGTAGGCGCACCGGTGCGCGAAGAAGATGCCGCGGCGGAGGAACGGGTGCGCGCGCACGCCGGTGAGCCTCTCCATACGCGATACAAGCGCGGGCTCGAGGCGCTGGCAACCGAACTGCTCGATAAGCTTGTTGTAGTCGATACCGCCCCCAGATGACACCTCCCACGGCGTCACCACCTGCTCCGCCCCCGCCTCCCCCGCGCTCTGCTGCTCCGCATTCTCCCCGCCTGCGCTGGCTGCGCTCGGCTCCGCGGGCGCGGGGGCTGCGGCGGCGGGATCGGCGCCGGTCATTGAGCGCGGGCGAGGTGGAAACGGCACGGGGAAATATAGAACGGTTAAGAGGAGGACGCGCCGCGCGAATTGAGGATGACGGAAGGACACTGCCGGCACGTGAGCGTAGGGCTAGCGTTAACGTGGTTGTGCAATGGGTGATGATCACTGTGCTCGATGATTTGATCGTACGTAACGGGTTTCGGGTTTGTCGCCATACTCGTTTGTGACCACACTCGTTTACTATTACACAACAGCGGGGCCATATTGTATAACTTAAAATCGCGAATATAACAAATCATGGTGCTATGTGTCAACAAGATTTTACACATTCACACTTCAAGAACATCCCTTTCACAGATTGACATGGCTTTGCTTGTACACCTCTAAATTCCAATCCTTGACCGTTCCAAACTACACTTCACGACTTTGCGACAAACTCAACACCCTTGTCGATGCTTGCCTTGAGCTCTGGCTTCAGCTTTTCCAACCACACCCTGCAAAGCGAGGGACAAGTGAAACAGGAAAATGTCAGACATGGCACTGTGAAAGTATACAGGTTGGTTCCAAGCAAGTAACGGATTGTGCAAGCATAAGACATGGGCTCGGAGCATCTCCTTAGAAGGCATCTTTCCTCTGACCATCGAAGCAGTGAGTCATGATCACTTGGATACAAGGGAACGTCATAATCACACATTAGCACACACAGGGGGAAACTCACACCTCATACTGAGTCATGGGCCCTAGCCCTAGCACCTCCTCCACTCCTTGTCTCCCCAGCACCATTGTACTGGGTGGGCCGCAACAATGGAAAGGCATACACTTTCCGGTGGAATTGACGGGGGACTCACCGCTCATACTGCGTCATGGGCCCTAGCCCTAGCACCTCCTCCACTCCTTGTCTCCCCAGCACCACCCGCGAGGCAAAGAATGGCAGCTCTGTCACCTGCTCAAGCATGGGAGAGGGTGGGAGAGAGCGGAGAGGTTTAAGGTCGACTCAAAAAGCACCTTGTTACAATGGCAGCCAGAGGGAGTGACAGAGATGAAGTCAGATCATATGCCAGAGGCTCGCCTAGGTGCGGACACACAGCACAGGTACAGGTGTGAAGGCGTTGCATGCACTAGCAGACATATGCAAGTGCGCACAGGCAGAGGCATAGGCAGGCAGCAGCACAGGCGGAAGCAAGGGCACGGGCAGAGGCAGGTGCATGAGAATGAGCAGGAGGCAGCAATGACTGACCGTGGATTGCACGAAGGCGCACTCCACTATGCCCGCCTCCCCCCGCATGGCCCGTAGACACGCCTCTGCGAACTTGGCTGCTGCGTATGCCTGTAAGGAAGGATAGGTGAGAACCGGAGATGGGAATAGAGCAGCAGAGTAGGGGTGAATGGATTGGGTGAGCACTCCACAACGCCAGCACACCCCCGCATGGCCCGTAGACACGCCTCTGTGAACTGGGCCGCCGCATATGCCTGTGCACAGGGGAGGGGTTAGGTGGGAAAGAGGGGGTTGGAGAAGTAGGGGGAGAGTAGGGATAGATGGGTTGGTGAGCAGGTGGGCAAGGCAAGTACTAGTTGAGAGAGGTCATTACTGTTCACGGTGGTTCTGGTGAGGGGGGCATAACAGCTCATGCGGTGGTGGAGGAGGAATTGGGAAGCAATTACGTTTGCCTCATGTCATGCACTGAAATGTCATGCACTGACTGAGTTGAGTTGGGTCTGATCAGACAGAGTTGATTTTGGCACAACACAATGGGACTTACATGGGCATTACGATTCAACCAATCAGGAAGCAACTATTTCCCAGTAGCCAAGTGCTCACGAGGGGATGGGAGAGACTCACCATGGACAGGGTGGCGGAACCAGCGCCGGCTTTGGCCTGCATCAGCGCACGGAGGGAGGGCGCAGGTGGGCAGGGAGACAGGATCAGCAAGTACACACGACACAGCGACAAATGCTCGTTGCACAATCATTATTGATTCGCGCTGTGCAAAATTCCCCCCCCCCCCCTTTTTTGGTTTGTGTCCATGTCGGTAATTCGCGATCCCGTTGGCAAATTCTTTTACCACAAACACTATTTCTGCGAGTGGCGAACACCTCACGGCCACCACCCCACCCCCTGGTTCTCCGACTACAGAGCTGCTTGTGCCCCCACACTCACCTCGACGACCTCCGTGCCTCCGTTCTGGATTCTGTTGGTCAGATAGTCCAACTCCTCCTGGCTGAAGCTCACCGCGGGTGTCACCTGCACTCCCACCACACCGCACACACCGCACACAGACAGCACACACCACACACACAGCACACGACACACAGGCAGCATCGACATCCCTGTGTGAGTGAGCCAGTGAAAGCGGCTTCTCTGGTGGAAGAGTGAAGGAGCGAAGCAATGCGCGCAGGGACCACCGGTGGCAGCAAGGGCACGGAATTCCCAAAAGAGCGCCCTCCCTGTGAGGGCAGCAGCAGCTATAGGAGCGAGTGTGAAGACAGGGAGCAGGACGGGCCTGCGGCAGCAGCTGCAATCATGGGGGTGCGAGTAGGTATGGGAGCAGCACCGTGCGTGCGGGAGTAGGTATAAGTGTGGGAATGGTGCGGGATCAGGCATACCTGCGAGAGCAGTGGCAGGATGGTGATGCCTGCGTGGCCGCCCACCACTGGCACGTTCACTTCCTCGGGATTCAGCCCCAACACCTCCGCCTGCCATAGGCGCAGATAATAGCACGGGATACATAAAAGTTTAGAATTCGAGCAGCTACACAATGGAAGATGGGGAGAGAGAAAAGGCACATTGGCAGAGCGAGAGGGTGGAAGAGAGAATTGTTCGTTCTGATTCTCTCAAACTTCTGATGCACTCCCGTGTTGTTGGCGTATGCTAGGAATTCTCAAACGTAGCCCGTGCATCCATTTCACGCAGTTACGAGAGTTAGACGTACCACGAAGGTGTTGGCGCGGACCACGTCGAGTGTCGTGACGCCCATCAGCTTGCGCGGATCGTACGTCCCCGCGCGCCGGAACACCTCCGCGGCGATCGCGACCGTCGAGTTCACCGGGTTGCTGATGATGTTCACGACGGCGCGCGGGCAGTGCTTCGCGATGCCTTCGCAGAGCGTCTTGACGATGCCCGCGTTGATCTTGAACAGGTCGTCGCGCGTCATGCCCGGCTTGCGCGGCACGCCCGCGGGAATGATCACCAGGTCCATGCCGTCTAGCGCTGCGCCCAGCTGGTCCTTGCCCAGGAACCCGCGCACCTGGAAGAGTGTAGCACACGGAAAAAAAAGTTTTCATTAAGACATCTCAAACCAGACGCACGCCCGCGGGGATGATGACCAGGTCCATGCCGTCGAGAGCTGCCCCTAGCTGGTCCTTCCCCAGGAACCTGCGCACCTGCGGAGGGGAGCAAACGCATGGAGGACAAATGCATCACATGTAATTCAATTGACCAATAAGCCAGGAATTCGGCTGCAACTGGTGCGCATCATACTGATTGCACGGAGCAGGGAGCGTGTAGATTGAGAGAGAAGAGAGAGTGTCGGGAACGTACGACGGCGGAGGTGCTGGTGTGGCTGAGGTCCGCTGTGACGCCGGGCGTGTTGAACACGTCGTACAGGTGCAGCACCGATACAAGCGGATTCATTTTAAGCAGCAGCGACAGCGGCTGCCCGATGCCTCCCGCCGCGCCCAGCACGGCGACCTTGAAGCCGCCGCTGCCGCCCTTGGCGCGCGTGGCGTTCATACTGAGGCCGCCATCCTGCGCGCACGACCAACGGGCAAGACGTGGAGATTATCAATTATTACGCTGGCTCAAACACTTGGCGCGCGTGACGTACATGCTGAGCCCACCATCCTGCGCACACGACCAACGGGCAAGACGTGGAGATTTCATTAGTTCAGACAACGCTTCATTCCGTCATATTTGTTACTGTGTAACGTGCGGGTACGACAGGTTGGTTTTTTTTTTTTTCTCCAGATATGCTTCCTTCATTCAGACTCGTTATTGTGCAATAGGTGATTATCGAAATCGCAAAAGTCTTGCGGAACGTGGGGGACGTGAGTAGCAGAGCGAGACGAGCGAACGCGAGGCGAGCTGATGGAGCGCGCGATGCGCGTCGCGAGGCAGTGGAACTCACGCTGGGCGAAGCGGGCGGGCAGATGTGCGACGCGATGCGGTTGATGCGGTTCAACGGACTCATGGTGCGATGCGCGGCTGACGAAAGACGACTGACGAGGACGACTGGCGCGTAGAGCTAATAGCGGCCTTCGTCTAGCCTCGCGTTGTACTCTGAGATACCAGGACCCTGCGGATTAAGCAGGAATGGCTACTGCGGACTCTGACAAACGCTACTGCTATTGCTGGGCGTTCTAGGGCTACCTTACGTTCGCAATATGACTACGGTGGACGGAAATAGGCTTGTGTTCTTGAGAATGGCTTCAGGCTGCCAGCCTTCCTCCTAGCACAGGAAACTGAAATCGAAATTCGAGACTGCTGGTTGGTTCATGCAGATGCATCATGCGTGCACTGGGATTTGTTTCCCAGCCTCAGCATGGATGGATGCTGACTTGGGGGAAAAGGGGACCAATCTAGCTGGCGGGCCACCTGACTGATGTGTGTGTGTGGTCCCAGCCGAGTCTTTCCAGAAGGGCTATGCTGACGTGATCCTGGACTTGTTCAGGCAGGTGCTGAAAAGTGTTGTCACGTCAGCGCGCTCTGATGTGGACTCTGGGACCGCAGAAGCCCCGAGTGGCCTCTCCGTTATCGTGCAAACTCGTTTCAGTGATTGAGAAAGTGACATACACCACAAATAAGTTTAGTGCGGAAAAGGACTAACATCACTGCCCCTGGCACTTGGGGATTGCTGAATGGGCTGCCATGCCACATGAACATACCTCGACATGATCTCCTTCCGTTGGGCAGCCCGAGCCTTGTCAGACACGGCAGGGGGTGGGTGTGTGTGTCCTCTCTACTCGCAGACACACACACAGCACGCACCCATCCAGCAGCCCGTATATATACCGTGTATACGATATATTTCCCTGAACCGCTCTTCCACCATTCTCTTGCTGGAAATCCTCCTCCCGTTGTGGCATCCGCCCGTTCCGCTTCTGCTGCTGCAGTGCCCAGTATCCTTAGCAGCTTCGTCTTGAATCCAGACGTCTAACTGAATATCAAGTAATACAGGTCCGGATTCCCATAACCTCAAATTCGCTCACTTGCAGACTCGCATTTCCGCATATCCGCAAACTAGCAGGTTCGCTTGAGCATTTTAGAACGCCACGAGAGAACGTTGCCTTCCGCGCGTAAGCGAGAACTTTCTTAAAATTTTCAAACAGTCCCAAAGAGTCTAAACAACCGCGGCCAGTCCAGAAGCGTGTGGAGCAGTCCGCGCGCGAGGATGAGTCGGCAGATGTGCGGCGAGTGCAAGCGCAACACGGAGCTCGTACACGACCACGCGGCAGGGGACCTCATCTGCGCCGAGTGCGGGCTGGTCGTCGAGGCGCACAGCGTCGACGAAACTTCCGAATGGCGTACTTTCTCTAACGAGGCCGCTAATACCGATCCCGTGCGTGTCGGCGGGCCGACGAATCAGCTGCTGACAGATGGCGGGCTCACGACGATGATCAGCGCCGGAAAGAACGGGCAGGGAGGGGCGGATCTGCCTGGGAGGAAAGGGTGGGCCAGCCAGGGGTCGAACCCTGATCGGGACTTGATAAACGCGTTTCAGTCGATAGGCGACATGGCGGACAGGTGAGACGCCGCTAGGGAGAGAGAGGGGCTTTAGTGAAAGTGGGGTGGTTGCGCGAGGTCACGGGTTCGAATCTTGAGGGTGTCCTGATTACCACAAACAGGCGATCGGCACGGCGGGCATGGCGGGATGGCGGGCAGGTGAGGGTCGTTAGGTGGCGGACATGCAAGGGTGGCGACTGAAGCTGGGAAAGATCACGAGAAGTGGGGGGGGAGGGGGGGGTAGACTTGACGTGTGGGTTAAGCGAAGTAGCTCCGCAGAAAGAACCGAAAGCAGTGAGTGATCAAGGATGAGCAATCAGCCATTGGATACACTGGAGGCGTGTAATGGGGGAGATTCGATGCTGAGACGGAAGCTGGGGGTCGTAGCACGCGGCAGTATGCTGCCAGCACACAACCACCCCCAGCCATCAACCAGCATGGCACCAATCCGTGCCACTCAACTGACTTCTTCTCCCTCTTCGCCCATCCCCTGCGCCCCCGCTCCCTCATGACCCCCTTGGCTGCGGGCAACCGACCATGGTAACCTGGTAACCGGCTTCTGCGCACTCAACTCGCTTGTGGATGCCACGCAACCACTGCAATACCGTGCACGCGTGTGTGGTTGGCAATGCAACGAGGGGCGTCTGCCCACCGTGCAGACTGGGCCTTGTAGCCACCATCAGGGTACGTTCCCCCCTCGCTGCTCGCCTCTCGTCCCTCTTCGCACTTCTTCCCCCACCCCCCCTTTTCCCCCTTCATATTTTTGAACGTCCTAGGACCATGTGTCCCCCTTTAACCCCCATATTTATAAACTGTGTTTGCCCTCGCATTGTGTTTGCCCTTGCATTTTGTTTGTTTGTCCCCACCCAGGACCGTGCGAACGAGATATTCAAGAAGGTGCATGACCTGAAGAGTATTCGTGGGCGCAGCAACGAGGCCACATACGCTGCTTGCCTGTACATCGCATGCCGGCAGGAGGACAAGCCACGCACCTTCAAAGGTCGGTGGATAGATGGGGGTTAACGATCTGGAGATTAAAGTTGCTGGCGCCGACAACCTCGCATGCCCTCCTCCCCTCACATGCCCGCCCACCCTCACATTCACTCCCACGTGTCTCTCTCTCCACCACGCGTGCAGAGATAGGGTCAGCAGGCAACAATATATCGAAAAAGGAGATAGGGCGAGCGACCAAGTTTATAGTGAAGCAGCTAGAAGCGGATATGGGGGCCGTGGACATGGGGGCAGTCAATGCAGGCGACTTCATGGTGAGTAGTAGGTGGTTTCAGTATAAGCAGGTGCTGTTTCAGTACAAGCAGGTGCTGAATTAGAACAAGCAGTTGCGAAGCAGGTGCGGTTTCAGAAGCAGGTGCGGTTTCAGTATAAGCAGGTGCGTCGACTCAGAATCTCTTTCACATCTTTTCCGCTCCCTGTCTTATGCCGCTCCCAGTTTTGCTTCTGCTCGCATCTGGGCATGAAAGGGGCGGATGGCAATGAAGTTTTCGTGGAAAGCAGAGCAGATTAACATCCGCTAGCCCCCCTGTGTCACCGCCACTCACCCGCACTCCCCTTTCCTTCTTCTCCTCCACCCCTGCTTCCCCTGCAGCGTCGCTTCTGCTCGCATTTGGGCATGAAGGGCGCGCCAGTGCAAGCAGCAATAGAGGTGGTGCAGAACACAGAGCAGATCGACATCCGCACCAGCAGAGCGCCCATCTCCAAGGCTCATTTCCCCCTTGCCGCTTTCCCATCCCCCCTGCTTCCCCCACAGCGCTGCTTCTGCTCGTCAACCCCCCCCCCCGCTGTCTCAACCACCACTCACTCACCCACACCTCACCACCCCCTTTCGTCCATGCATCCCCTCCCCTCCCCTCACTTCCTGCAGCGCCGTTTTTGCTCGCATCTGGGAATGAAAGGAGCGCCAGTGCAGGCGGCGATAGAGGTGGTGCAGAACACAGAGCAGATCGACATCCGCACCAGCCGAGCGCCCATCTCCAAGGCTGCTGCCGCCATCTACATGGTCACCCAGCTCTGCAGCAACCCCGTTCCCACCAAAGGTAGTGCATGGTGCATTGCATGTATGGTGCATGTGTGGTGCATGGTATGGTCACATACAGCAGGTAGAGCAGAGCTCTGCAGCAACCCCGTTCCCACCAAAGGTAGTCTACAATGCAAGGTGTGATGCAGCTGGTCACCGTCAGGTTTGGCGGCACAAGCCTGTAGTGGATGGCGCCAGCTGCTGCTTGTAGGTCGTGGTGTGAGCATGAAAGATGCCTTTTCTCCAAGGCTGCTGCCGCCATGCACCACGGGCTTGCACCATGTAGTTGGCGGCACAAGATTATACACTGCTCCGTGCACCGTGCCTCAGTTTGCCTCCCCTTGTCTTTCTTTCTCCCTCTCCCTCTCCAATGCATCTCTTCCCTCCTCTCCGCCGTTCCACTCCCCCTGTGTGCTGCAGACATATCGAGGGCAACAGGTGTGGCGGAGGGCACGATACGCAACACGTACAAGGACCTGCTGCCCTTCGCCTCGCGCCTGCTGCCAGAGTCATACGCCAAACCAGAGGACATTGCCAAGCTCTCGCCCTCGTAGCCTACCCACCTTGCTTCCATTACAGTCGTATTCCCTGCTGTGCATGTTCTGGGTGACATGACGGCACATGTGAGAGTTGCAAAAGCGCCTTCAGTATTGCTGCCTGACGGGACAACCCTTCGTCGTAGCGGTTACTGAGGCGCTGCAAAAGCAAACACTTGGCTGCAATTTGGGAGAGTTCAGGGTATTCTCCAAGCTGTGCTTGGTGTCAATGCGAAGTGAGTGTGTTGTACACTGTACACTGTGATTATGGAAGCATTGTACAACCGAGGCAGCCATCTTGGCTGGCTATCTCCTTTTATTCTTTACCCATTCCGTCTCGCCATCACAAAAATTCGTATCGTTACAGTATGCAGTGCACAGGCCATGCCTCAAGCGCTGTATATCCTGGGATAAGGTGGAGGCAAGGCAACAGAGCCAAAGAACACGGTAGCCTGCGCACACACAGGAATGAGCTATCTTCTTCCCTTGTTCTTTACCCATTCTGTCTCGCCAGCACAAATATTTGTATCGTTACAATGCGCAGTGCGCAGGCCGTGCCTCAACCTCTGTATATCCTGAGAGAACGTGGAGGCAACCGAGCCAAAGAACACGGTAGCCTGCGCACACACCAGCTTCTCTAGCACCGATGCTGTCATCTTCTCCCTTTGTTCTTTACCCATTCTGTCTCGCCAGCACAGATGTTTGTATCGTTACAATGTGCAGTGCGCAAGCCATGCCGCAACCTCTGTATATCCAGTGAGAAGGTGGATGCAACAGAGCCAAAGAACACGGTAGCCTGCGCACACACCAGCTCCTCTAGCACTGACGCTGCTATGCCTATGTTCCTGCTGTCGCTTACGATGGAAGCTATAGGCGAAACCCAATCAACAGACTGGTTTTGACCTTCAAACTCTGGGTTATTGGTAACGCTGCTGCCGGTGGTGCTGGTGCTGCTGGTGATGGTGACTGTAGCACCGTTAGTGGCATTAGTGTATGTGATTATAACGGGGGCTTTATCCAAAGTGCCAGTGAGGGGTGGAAGGCGGTGGAAGGTGATGCTGAGGGGTGTGATGCGAGCTATCTTGCGGGTTAGCTCCTGCAGCTGGTAGAGGGTGATGGGTTGGGGAGTGGGGAGAGAAGTGGCTTCAGATGGCTGTATAGGAGAGCCATGCACGCTTACAAAGCTCTGATCTGCAAGAATTGGCACTGCAAGGGAAACCAGCCCAGGGAGAAAAGCAGAAACGACTCGACAGCAAGATAGTGCTCACAAACTCACCTGCTTGCTCATGCCATTCTAGTTATGCCTGTACAAGAATAATCGGTATTCGAGAATTATTCGATATTCGTTCGAATACCTGAATTCGAGAGAATAAGAAACAGCCGTGTATTCGAAAATATTCGTATCATGAGTATTCGTGAATGTAGAATATCCGGCTAACGGATATTCGGGATATTCGTTACTATTCGGTATTCTACCATTACCCGCCCCCCACCCCACCCCCTTTCCCACATGCGGCTATCATCTTTGGCAATCTGTCTACAAGAGGCCTCATGAGAGCCGTGCCCAAAAGTCTAGCAAGATCTTTGCTGAGCAGGGTTAGCGAAGGTTCATGGTGCGGGTTTGAGTCGTGGTGCTGATATTATAAGGTGCATTGAATCACCCTTTGTCGAACATGCATTAGCCGTTCGACACTGGCTATACAAAACATCTTATTACTGGACACTTCTTCGTATTCGATTCGGATTCGGTGGTATTCGAATCGTATTCGTATTCGGTTTCGGGTCAGTATTCGGTCAAATAAGAAAACACCCAGTATTCGGAGAATATCCATGAAAACTATTCGTATTCGTATTCGTATTCGTTTGTACAGGCTTAATTCTAGCTACGCTCACGGCTCACATTCTTGACCTTGGCATGCGTCACACTCTCTCATCCTCCATCCTACACGGATCACTGTACAGAGAGCACGACATTGCCTCTCTCTCACCTCCTTTAGCTTGGCGTTGGTGGCAAGAAAGAGCTCATCTATGCCGCTCTGCTTCACCCTCTCCACCACCCAATGCGCCACCTGCCCAGTGCCAGTGCCAGTAACCATGTTACCACCTGACATTGCAAAGCAGCTTCAACAGGAGCCATCTAACAACGTGGAACCATAAATCTCCTGCATGGATGTTAAGACTAGAAGCATGCGTGCTTCAGACTGCACTTTTACTCTCATGAAAAACAGAGAGACCCTTCCCTGAAGGCAATGGAACCAACCTCATCTCTCAGCACCTCACCTGGTGAACGGGGTAGAAGCACGCGTGTTTGGGTCCGCGCCAGAAGCACCAGGGCATGAAGTCACCCTGCCGCCAGTGCAGCGCCAGGAACGGCCGCCCCTCAAACAGCCGCCCCACCAGCAGGTGAGCGCACCTCATCTCACAACTCTCACCTGATGCACAGGATAAAAGCACGCATGCTGGGTCCGCGCCAGAAGCACCAGGGCTTGAAGTCCCCTCGCCGCCAGTGCAGCGCCAGGAACGGCCGCCCCCCAAAAGAACACCTGCTTCACCGGCAGGTGAGCGCACCTCATCCCACAATTCTCACCTGGTGCACGGGGTAGAAGCACGCATTCTTGGGTCCACGCCAGAAGCACCAGGGCTTGAAGTCCCCCTGCCGCCAGTGCAGCGCCAGGAATGGCCGCCTTCCAAACAGCCGCCCCACCAGCAGCTCCGCGCTCTCCAGCAGTGCGGGGCGAGGGCGCAGGAGGAGCGGCGAGGGGCAGGAGGCGGAGCGGTGGAAAGGCAGGTCGAGAAAGGGCTGCTGCTGTGCAAATATGGTGGTGGTGGTGGTGGTGGTGGTTCCATCATCAGGGGACTGCTGAGGCGTTTCTCCATCCATGCTTTCATCCACTTGTGCAGGAGGCTCATGTGTGGTGCCCCCCATCACAGTGTCTCCATGTGTGTGGGAGACGTGCAGGTTGAGCAGATCCCCCACCACGAGCACGGGAGAGGGGTTGCTGCCCCAAGCGAGCAGTACCTGATGGGTCAGTGCAGGACGACAGGGAGCAGTGGGAGGGAGGGGTGAGCAGGAGGCGTGAGAAGGAGCAGTGAGTTGGGAGGAGTGAGGGAGGAGCATGATATGCATGTGGAAGGGAAGGGCAGGCGAGCATGTGAACCAGGCACGTATGGGGATGCGGGCGAGTGCAGGAAAGCACTAACCTGTTCTTGAGACGCGAGCATGGGCAGGCAGGCAGCGTGGGTGGTGGTGTTGGGGGGCAGGTGCACGAGGGGGCTGCGGAAGAGCGAGTGGGAGACTGGCACCCGTGTGTCAAACACAACCCCGGGTGTGCCTGCCACCATGCCGCTCCCACCATCCCCTGCCAACCCACCACCATCACCACCAGAAGCAGCACCAGCAGCATCACCAGCAGCCATGTCATTATTCCCACCGCTCCCACTCCCGTCACTGCGCCTCATATCGTCAAGGCCAGGGCAGTGCAGCAGAATGTTATCAATCTGATCCACACACGCCCCAGGGGGGCCGTGCCAGCACACCACCTGAGACACCTGAACGGGCTGCCTGAATTTTCTCCTGAACTCAGCAGTGGTGAAGACAGTGGGGCCGATGCAGGACCTGAGATACGCGAGGTCGAGCACCAAGTGCAGGTCGTAGTTGAGGATGGTTTCAGAGCGGTGGAAAGGGATAATGAGGGTGCGGTTGAGCAGGCCTGCGAGGAGCATGTGGTTGCGCAGGCAGAGGAGACGATTGGTGACCTGCGCGTGTGGGGGACGGCAGGGAAGGGTGTAAAACAAAAATATGTGATTATTTGGGATGGGAGTGACACGCATACATGTGATGTGAGCCTCATTGCTGGCAGAGCACGTGGTTGAGCACACAGAGCAGACGGTTGGTGATCTACGTGCGTGAGGATGGGAGGGAGGGAGAGATAAACAAAGATAGGGACGGGAATCGGGATGAGTGTGGCACACATAGATGTGCAAACCGAGCAACAGGCCTTACCCCTCTCTCTCACGCCTCGCATGCCTCTCAAAATGGTAAAAGATCGCGCATTTCTGACCTGCCCCCGCACGCAGTGAGCCAGCAGGAACCGGTTGCTTGCAGGCGTCCACCGCACTGTGCCACGTGTCAGCGCGCCCTGCTCCCACGTGGCATTGAAGAGCGCGCCTGACCCTTCCGTACAATCCTGCAGCAACGGATGGCTGCGGGGAGGGCGTAGAGGGGAGCGGGAAAAGATGCGGAAAGGGAGCGGGGGGAGGGCCCGGGAGGGGGGAGGGGAATGGGAATGGGGGAAGCAGAACGTGAGAATTGGTTGCGGCGAGAAAGGGCCCAGGGGAGATTGCTGATTGGGAGGATTGATTGGGAGAGAGAGGAGGGAGGAGAATGCACGCTTGACGTACGTGATGTAAGCTGATTGGGTGCGTTGCTGAATGCACGCCACGAAGACCAAAAAGAGCAACGGAAATGACGGCCAGTTCATGGCAAGAGTCCGTCGAACCAGGTGTAAAACCTGGTTACCAGAGACATAGGCGAAATGGGAACTGCAAGTAAGGAATGCTGAGATCGCTTCATGTGGAGGAAAGTGCTCGAGTAGGAGACTGCAGCGATTAACAGAAGCTCGATAATACTCAAAGGCTCATGGTAACACCGACCCTAGCATTTCTAGAAAGGTGTCTCGTCAGCGCTAATGCGTCCAACCTGCTCTCGTGAGCTCATGGCGTACAGTGCAGAAATCCATGCTACCTTGTCGTGCGGAAATGGAAACGCAACCGGAAGCTGTTGCACAAGTGCTGTCGAACGTGTTAGTACAAATTCTCCAGTACATATATAGTCTACGCCTCGTGTCCTAAACAAGTCGCACTGGCGGTGTCCGCGCAGGTAGATATCTGTGAATGGAGATTACTAGGATGGGTGTGATTCAGAGCATCGCAGCGCCTCGGGGTTGAAAGCGGTGTAAAACATATGAGCAGGGGTTCAATCTGGTCGCATCTTCGCGAATCCTTGGCTTCGAATCTCCTGCTTGCGAAATCCTGTTACATTTCGTTTCGCCACTGCCGAATTTCATGCGAGCTTCAGGGCGCCTAGCTGACGAACTTCGTCATTCCCCCACCCCATCCTCTCATCTCCTCCTCCCCCAGCCTGATTCAGCCTGATTCCAGCCTGATTTCACTCGAGAACAGGATTTCTCGTGAGTACGAGAGTTGTGGTCATAAATTCTAAGCAATCGCGATTCGCGACTTTGACTTGCAGACCTAGTTTCCAGATCTTTCTCCTTTGCTCCTGTCGCCTAAGCAGGAGTTTGCCTGGCATCCATTTTGCCTTCCATGATCTGCAGCGTCGATTGCTCATCTGCCGACGGGCTGTCTCACGCTGATGTAGCTCTGCGATTCGCTCTCCACGGAATGCCGTTGAAACCCATCCTCCCTCTCCGCGACGATTTCACTGTACCGCTCATCCCGTTGGCTCGGCGCGCCTGCAGCATTAGTCCCAGACACAGGCACGCCTGCCGAACCAATCGTGGTCGCCGAAGCTCCCGTGGTCGTGGAACCAAACGTGCCTGCCGAACCGCCAATGCCTACCGAACCAGCCTCCCCAACCGAACCGACGGAGAACGCTGAGAAGAGATCGCCAACCACGTTCTCGTCTTCCTCCTCCACCGTGTGAGCTGTCAGCATCGCGTCTAGCCGTCTCAGCACGTCCTTCATTTCCGGCCGTCGGATCCCGGGCATCTTGATGCAATCAAGGGCCAGATCTGCGAGTTCGACGACGGCGTCCTCTGACGCCTCCATCCGACGGTCCTTGAGCTCGTCGAGCGAGTAGCTCTGCACCAGCGCGGTCGCCTGCGCGAAACACACATATCGCGAAACGGAAATCACCGCACACTGAAGCTCAAGACACGATCAAAGTCATCAGCGCAAATCACGGAAACAGAAACAAGTACCAACGCTGCGGGTGTGCTGCGCAACGCGGTGCACAATGCGGTGCGCGCAGCAGTACGCACCCATTTGCCGATGTGCGTGTTGCCCTCCACAGTGACCCTTCGCCCGCTGAGCATTTCCAGCAGCACGACGCCGAAGCTGTAGACGTCGCTCTTGGTGGTAACCAGCTCCGTGCGATTGTAGTCCGGGTCCACGTACCCCGGCGTGCCCGCCACCTTGGTCGCCCGCCCCTCGCCCTCCCCGAACTTGAGCTTTCTCAGCAGCCCAAAGTCCGCTACCTTGGCCTGAACGGGTGCAACAAGGGTGAGGAGCAGGGACGAGGGTGGGGGGTAGCTACCATGAGGTTATTTCAATTCGCCCTCGCCCTCCCCAAACTTGAGCTTCCTCAGCAGCCCGAAGTCCGCTACCTTGGCCTGAGAGAGTGGGAGAGAGGGGAAGAGGAGGGAGAGGGAGAGGGGGGGGTTGGGTCGCAAGCATGAGGCTATTTTGAAGTGGTTCCAAGAAAGGCGCCCTCGCCATCCCCATACTTGAGCTTCCTCAGCAGCCCAAAGTCTGCTACCTTGGCCTAAACGGGTGGGAGAGGGGGGGAAACAGAGGTGGGGAGTAGCTAGCAGTGAGGTGCGGGAAAGACAAGGCACAGCAGGCCTGTTTCACAGTGAGGTGTGGGCAAGGCAATGCTGGGGACACAGTGAGGTGCGGGAACCAAAAAGCTAGAGGCTAGAGGCTCACAGTGAGGTTGTCCCCGACGAGGATGTTGGCGGGCTTGATGTCGCGGTGAATGATGGGATTCTCAAAGCCGTGCAGATACGCCAACCCCTCCGCTGCCCCCACCGCCAGCTTCAACCGCTGCCTCAGCGTCAGCGGCTCTGAGGAGAGAGGGTGGGCGGAGGGGTGGAGGGAGAAGGGGACGGGGTGGGTGGAAAGTAGCAGAGCCTGGTTCAGTCGCTGCAGCTGCAGCAGCGACAGGGACTGCGAGAGAGGTCTTTGCGTGGCACGAATCCAGTCCCTGTTGTGGCACGCCCATGCTGCGACCAAACACACTCACTGTGCGTCTTAGAGAGGTGTTGATAGTGGAATTCGTGGTCGAGTGCACCACAAACTCGACTATCAACACACTCTGCTGTGTGACGTCTCAACACACCCTCTGTGGCGCATCTCAGCACACGCTCACTCTGTGTCTTGAAGAGATGAAAGGAGAGGTCGCCATGCTCCACGAACTCGTACACGAGGATCTGCTCCTGCTTGCCACTCTCCATGTCCATGTCGTGACAGAACCCCAGCAGCCGCACCAGGTTGGCGTGATGCAGACTCGCCATCGCGCGCACCTGGGGAGGAGGTGAAGGGCACAAGCATGGAGGGTCCAAAGACGCAAAGAAAAGACAACATGCAGGACTGGTCCTGGGTTGGTGTGATGCAGACTTGCCACCAATGAGGAGCCAAGGCAAGAAGAGAACCCGACTCGCGAGAAGAACAGGTGCCAGCCTCCCAGCCAGCCCAGGGTTCCGTTCTGTACTCGTTACAGGCCTCCTCACCTCCGTTTCAAAGTCATTGGACATGAGAGTGATTCTCTTGACGGCCCAGAGCTGGCCCGTGGTGGGGTTAACTCCCTTGTACACGACAGCAAAGCCCCCCTCGCCCAGCACGTTCTCCTCAGCCCAGTCGTTGGTGGCCTTGCGCATCGTGGCGATGGAGAACTGCTGACACACGTCCAGATCGCTCCACCGCTCTGGGGGGAGGGAGAGGGTGGGAGTGTAGGGAGGGGAAGTGACAAGTGCACACGAGGGGGTGGAAGAGGGGGTTGAGACATGGGTATGAGGGTTGAGGTGTGGCAATGCAGAACTCCTGGAGCGGAAGCAAGAGACAGCAAAGCCCCCCTCGCCCAGCACGTTCTCCTCGGCCCAGTCGTTGGTGGCCTTGCGCATCGTTGCTATGGAGAACTGCTGACACACGTCCAGGTCGCTCCATCGCTCTAAGGGGAGGGAGAGTAATGGTAATGATAATAATAATGGTAATGGTAGTGGTAATGGTAATGGTAGTGGTAATGGTAATGGTAATGGTAATGTTAATGGTAATGGTAATGGTAATGGTAATGGTAATGGTAATGGTAGTGGTAATGGTAATGGTAGTGGTAATGGTAATGGTAATGGTAATGGTAATGGTAGTGGTAATGGTAATGGTAATGGTAGTGGTAATGGTAATGGTAATGGTAATGATAATGTATGGTGATGGAGAACTCCTGACACACGTGCAGGTCTCTGCACTGCCCTGAGGGAGGGCGAGTGGGAGGGAGAGTGGAGAGGGAGAGAGGTGGAAGAGAGTGGGAGGCGGGCAGGGGTAGTGGGAGGAGGGAAGGGCATTCATGCACTTTGATGGAAGAGTTGTGGGCATTCATCCCACATCCACCGCCCTGGGGACAGGGAGAAGAGGGAGTGGGCAGGGATAAAGGGGGGGAACAGACGGAATATATTCATTGCTCTCAGTCGCTTTGTACCTTGCCAAGTTAACAGACAGGCGATGCATAGAAACGTACTCTTCCGCTGGGTTGCAGCCGTTGTGAGAGACATTTGAGATTCTCAAGACCCTCAAACAAGGGAACGAAAGGGTGGTGTAGTGTGGATGGAGCGGAGGAACTTACTCTTCTTTTTGGGGCGCAGCAGCAGGCAGAGCACGGACGCCAGCAGAGCGATTCCCAAAAGGCAGCTGAGACCCACGATGCCTATCGTAGGGATGGAGGACTTGGTTGCTGTGAGGCAGGGGAGGGCAAGGACATGGGGGCGAGGGCACGAGGGCATGGGTGCGAGGGCGAGGGAGTTTGCAGGGCGTGAGTTGGGGAGCATGAAGGCGAGCAGAGCTGAACTGATGTGCCTTTAAACACTTGAGCTGATTATTCACCCTCGGTGGCAAAAGTGCAGGCGGAGCCGTTGTCAACAGTGACATTGACATAGGGCGCCTCACACGAGCACCTCAACCCAGCTACGCAGCCCGCCGGACCATGGATTGCGTTGTGACTTTTCACTCACTCTCAGTGGGGAACGCGCATGTGGAGCCGTTGTCAACGGTGACAGTGACGTAGGGCGCCTCACACGAGCACCTGAACGCGCCGCCAGTGTCCCCCTGAGCAGGCGGCACACACGCCCCCCTCCCATTGCACGGGCCCAGGTCCGTCACACTGCAGAACGCCGCGCACTCCTCTGCATCCCTCTGCACCTCCGTCACAGAGCACTTAACCTGCCTGTTCACCGACAGGCAGTTCCCCTTATAGCTCGCCTGCACAGTCGCGTACGCCTGAAAACACTGCACAGCCTCTTTCATTGACTGGGAGTCGCTGCGCTTGCTCCCCCCGGCGCTATCCCCTAGACTATTAAGATCCGACATGTTGATTCGGGTGATGTGCGGGGTGGGGCAGGCCTTGAAGCCCCCGGCGTACACGACAGGGTCGCCGTAGAAGTAGTTGTGGGCGAGGTTGATGACTGCCGGCTTGGTGAAGCCGCTGGTGGGCTTGGCGACCATGCCGACAAAGTCCATGTTGATTGGGCCGTAGAACGAGTTGTTGCTCATGTCGCTGTGGTGGAGGGAGGAGGGGGGGGGGGAGTGGCATTGATGGAAGAATAGGGTCCGTCAAGCTTGGGGACCATGCCGATGAAGTCCATGTTGATCGGGCCGTAGAACGAGTTGTTGCTCATGTCGCTGGGAGGAAAAGGGGGTTGGGGAAGGGAGGAGGGAGGAACAGTGGAATGAGGGAATAGGGTTGCTCAACCTTGGGGACCATGCCAATAAAGTCCACGTTGATCGGACCGTAGAAGGAATTGTTGCTCATGTCGCTGCGGGGAGAGGGAGGGAATGGAAGGAAAGGGGAGAGGCGTGACAGGAGGGATAAAGGAGAGGAGAGGAAGGCATCGATGGGGAAATCAGGTCAATGAGGCTTGGGGACCACATGTTACGCAGATCATGGCGTGCAGTGAATCAGGTCGAAGTCCAAAGCCTTACCCAGGTCATGGACAAAGTCCAAAGTCCATGACCTGGGTAAGGGTCCCATGACCTGGGTAAGGGTCCCATGACCTGGGTAGGGGTCTGAATGGAGGGACGAGGGCTTACACATAGTTGAGAGCAGGGAAGTTGAAGAGGCAGGTGGGGAAGCTGCCGTAGAGACGATTGTTGCTCAACCCACTGTGGCATGTAGAGCACACACAAAGATACAGGTGAGCACATGCATGTGCACAGGCGCACGTGAACAGACACATGTGAACACATACCCATGCAGACGCGTGACACATGTGAAGTTACAAGCGCATAAACCCAAGCCACTCAAAGAGTAATGCGTGGAGCCACTCTATCACACCCTCCAGCACTCACTCTCGCATTGATACTCACACTCACACCAACTCTCTGCAACTCACATGGCCTCTAGCGCCGTGAGGTTGCAGATGGCTGCGGGCAGCTGCCCCTCGAACGCATTGCCGTCCAACAGGCTGTGGCACGCATGGGCGGGCATGGGGGAAGCACGAATGGAGTGCGCATGGGGCGAGCATGGGGCGAGCATGGGGCGAGCATGGGGCGAGCATGGGGCGAGCATGGGGCGAGCATGGGGCGAGCATGGGGCGAGCATGGGGCGAGCATGGGGCGAGCATGGGGCGAGCATGGGGCGAGCATGGGGCGAGCATGGGGCGAGCATGGGGCGAGCATGGGGTAAGCATGGCTTCTAACGCCGTGAGGTTGCAGATGCCTGCAGGCAACTGCCCCTCGAATGCATTGCCGTCCAGCAGGCTGTGGCAGACATGCCATAGGCATGGGGGAAGCATGGGTCCAGTATGGGGGAAGCATGGGCCCGGTATGGGGTGGATTGTGACGATGGGGACGCATGGGGAGAATGAGTTGACACGAGACACATGGTAGACGACAGACAGCATGCCCTGGCCCAAACGGGGAAGGCGCAGCAGTGACAGTACACATTCCGTGAACCAGGAGGGAGCAGGGATGGGAAGTAGGGGTGGTGGAAGGTTGGGAAGGGTGGAGGTTGGGAAGGCTCACAGCTGAACGGTGGCATTGAGTTGCCCCAGGAACTCGGGGAGTGGGCCCGAGAGAGCGTTGTCTGCCATCCACCTGTAAGGCAGACGACAACGGGCCGAGGGCAGGTGAGGGGAGGTGAGAGGGCGAGAGGAAAAGGAGATTATGGGAGAAGGGGGGTAACAGAAGCAGGGGACAAGACGGAAAAGGACAACCATGTACAGGCCCCTTGAGAAAGCATGGATGAACATGTGTGGGTGACTGACCAACAGGGGCCATGATGAAGCAAGCTTACCTCAACATCTCGTAGGTGTTACTGAGTTGTGCGTAGCCAACTGGTTGAGTCTACGAGATTCGCAACGCCGCGACTCATACTAAGGCGAGAGAGAGCTTTGAGTAACGTATCACGGTCACCCATTCCGTAACCAACACACACTCTGTGAACGGGTCCCTATCACCCTCACTCACAGCACGTTGAGCTTGTTGACAGCTCCAAGGCCTGAGGGGAGGGAGCCCGATAGCTGATTGCCCTGCAGAGTGCTGCATGGAGAGAGGAAGGACAGGGGAGAAGGAGTGTGGTGGAGGGTTCAGGGTGAGTGCAGAGAGAGAGAGAGAACTTAAAGCTAGGATGAGAACGGAGCGAGTACGGTGGCAGAGAGTGGAGAAGGAAGGGGGTTTGCAGAGACGGGAGTAGAGAGTGCGTACAGGGTGTAAGGAGTGCGTACAGGGTGTAGAGGGAGGTGAGGACACTGATGGAATCGGGTATGGGACCCGTGAGGTTGTTGAAACCAAGGTAGCTGCACGTGCGAGAGGTGCGGGGGGGAACCAGGTGAAAACGAGAGCGAGGAAAGAGGTAGGAGAGAGGGGGAGCAAAGAGGTATTCTCCAACAAAGAACGGGCAACATAGAGAAGGGAGGGGAATGGGAGCAAGACCAAAGGTGAGGAGCAAAGGGAGCTGCCTCTGATTGAAGGTGATACAAGGCATTGAGGGAGTGGCCCTGTCTCCCCAGGCCACTTTTCAGATTCAGGGGCAACTCCCTGGGCCTTGAGGGAGTGGCTTGGGGCATTGAGGGCATAGAGGGCAGTGCGAGCGTACAGGGCATTGAGCGTGGTGTTGCGCCAGGCGTTGAAGTCTGGAAGCGGCCCCGACAGGCTATTGCCCTCCAGCTTGCTGCAGTGGCGGCGGGCGGGGGAGAGGCAAGGGGTGAGGCGTGCTGCAGCCTTGTGTTACGGTCTGCTATCAGCGCGTTGTTGTGATGTGGGAAAGCGAGGTGAGGCGAGCAAAGAGAGGCGGTGGCTTGGGGGGGGTTGGCGAGGTTGTCAGATTTGTAACTGTTACGCAACATAGTAACAGGAGTCTGCTTGAGACGAAACAGGAAACTGTGTGCTGTGTGGTATGGAATGAATCTGCATGGTAATGTGGTAACGTGGCACTGTGGTAACCGGGTAACGTGGTTACAGCATGGAAAGAGAGGTGCTCGTGCTGAGGTGGGGAGGAAGCGAGCCCTGAAGATTGTTGTGTGCGAAGGATCTGCAGGCAGGACGATGTGGAGAGAGAGAGAGTGGGAGGGAGAGGGAGAGAGAAGGAGCACGCACACATACAGAGTGCACAGAAGCAGAATTTGGTATCTCTGATGGCAGTAGCACAATGCAGCATTCCAATGGCACCACGGGCACAGCCTTTCATGGCAGCAGACAGCACTCCCAAATGGAATGGCAAAGGCAACAGCCAAAGTTCTCCACATGCTATGTCACATTGCCACGCCAACCAACTGACGTCATGTCAAGCATGCCACGTCATGCCAGACATGCCACGTCATCTCATCTCAGGCACGCCACATGGCAAGCAGCATGCTCACAGGTCGTTGATGTTGGGTGAGAGGAAGAGGCCGGGAGGGATCTCCCCCACCATGTGGTTGCCATCCATGTACCTGGTGCCATGGGGATGATGTGGCATGGGGATGATGTGGCATGGGGATGATGTGGCATGGGGATGATGTGGCATGGGGATGATGTGGCATGGGGATGATGTGGCATGGGGATGATGTGGCATGGGGATGATGTGGCATGGGGATGATGTGGCATGGGGATGATGTGGCATGGGGATGATGTGGCATGGGGGGTGGTTGGCATGGCATGGCATGGCATGGGATGGCATGGCATGGGATGGCATGGAAAGCTGGGACATAGGGCACGGTGAGGTACATGGCTGATAAGCAATGATGACGACATGGTGCAGGGGTACAGGGCATGGGACATGGCCTAAGAAGCATGGAACATGAGGGTCCGTGGTATGGTAGTGCTACACAAGACATAGTGCATATGGTGCATGGTGATTCATACACACAAGACGTTATGCATGGGTGACGGGGCAGAGGAAAGCAAGGACGCACAGGTATATGAGGTTTTTGAAGGAGGTGAGCTCGGTTGGGAGGGATCCTTCAAAGTTGTTGTAAGAGAGGTCCCTGCTTGGCCGTGCACGGAGTGGGAGGAGGGCAAGGAGTGGGAGGGGTGGAGGGGTGGAGGGGGCTGAGGAGATGCATCACTCACAAAAGGGATGGGCAGAGAGGGAAGGGAATGATGGGGTGTGGTTTGGGACGGTGAGATGTGGCACAGGTGGAGTGCAAAGTGGTGTGACGCGATAACTCGGATCCCTTGGCAAGAGAGCAGCAGACTGGGGTTGGCACAAGTGAGTGATATGGGAAGGCGTGAGTGAGTGATGGAGAGCGTACATGAGTCCAAGCTGGGTGAGGGTCAAAAGAACGGACGGGAGTCACTTTTGGGAAATCTCAAAAGTCACATGTGTGGGCATGAGTGAGTGATTGAGAGCGCTCACATGAGACCAAGCTGGGTGAGGGTCAAAAGAACAGACGGGAAGGTTCCTCCGAAGTTGTTATACGCAAGGTTGCTGCACAGGCGCGTCATGGGGTGGGGGCAATTGAGGGGGAAAATCGCACTCCATGGTGATACAATACAGCTCATTCTTAGGAGGTTGTACTCATGCTTTCTTTGACTGCGAAAATCGAATGCCATAATTATCTCGTTACATATTCGCTCTGATCATGCACTTGCAATGACCACTTGTGCAACGCACAGGGCATCGAGACTGGTGAGACGGGAGAAGGAGGCAGGGAGAGAACCCGAGAAGCTGTTGTTGGTCAGGTCCCTGCAGGGGCGAGTGAATGGTTGGAGGGATGGCGGGGAGGAGAAATGGAAGGCCGAACTAGAAAGATCATTCAAGGGAAATACGGGAAGGAGCTATTGGAGAGATTGGAGTGATATGAAGGTGCTTTCTTGGACAAAAATCTGAATCCACTGTGAACCCACTCCATTCAACAACACCCACTCTATTAAACTGTGTGCGACCCTTCTTCTACCCAAGTGTGTGCAGTGCAGGTGCAGGTGCAGGTGCAGGTGCAGGTGCAGGTGCAGGTGCAGGTGCAGGTGCAGGTGCAGGCGCAGGCGCAGGTGCAGGTGCAGGTGCAGGTGCAGGTGCAGGTGCAGGTGCAGGTGCAGGTGCAGGTGCAGGTGCAGGTGCAGGTGCAGGCACTCCATGTTGGGCCTTGAAGTGGGGAAAGGTCACTCACAGCATGTAGCGCCAGTCCATTTGACTGAGCACCCCCAGGCCGGATGAGAGGAAGTTGAATCAATTTCTGAGACGCCCCAAACATCGCCCCACGACTCTCATGGTGGTGAAGCCAGGACCAGGATGGTTCACTCACAGCATGTAGAGCCAGTCCATGTGGCTGATCACCTCCACACCGGAGGAGAGGAAGTTGCCCATGAGAAAGCTGCGAGTGGAGAGGTGCGGAGAGGGGGGCGAAAGTGGGAGGTGAATAGAGGAAGACCAGCACGATGATGGGCGATGCAGATGGGTGAAGCAAACGGAAGAAGTGTTGGTACAGAGACTACAGATGGACGGAGTGAGCTGAGGGAGGAGAGGAAGGTGGGAGAGGAGGGTAGAGAAGGAGATTCAGAGAGAAGAAGGTTGTGTGGGGAAAAGGAGGAGGAGCAGAGAGCAGAGGGAAAGGGTAGAGGGTGCGCACAGTTCGGTGAGGCCAGTGAGTGCTGTGAATTGAGCGGGAATGGCTCCCGTGAAGCCGTTGGTCCTCAGCTCACTGTGTGGCGTGTTGAGGGAAGGGAGAGAGGGTGAGGGGGGAGAGAGAGGGTGAGGGGGGAGAGAGAGGGTGAGGGGGAGAGAGAGGGTGAGGGGGAGAGAGAGGGTGAGGGGGAGAGAGAGGGTGAGGGGGAGAGAGAGAGTGAGGGGGAGAGAGAGGGTGAGGGGGAGAGAGAGAGTGAGGGGGAGAGAGAGGGTGAGGGGAAAGAGAGAGGGTGAGGGGGAAGAGTGAGAGTGAGAGGGAAGAGAGAGGGTGAGGGGGATAGGGTGAACGGTCAAAGAGGATGGAAGAAAGATGGTGATTGGTTAAAGGTGAGGGAGAGAGGAGGAAAGGAGATGAACGGGGGAGGGTGGGAGATGGTGACAGCAGAAGAGCGAGGGGTGGAAGACCAGTGGGATTGCATATGCTAGTGGCAAAACCAGCAGGGACAGAGGGATGCTTTTTTAGTCGACTCAAGGAACACGCAGAACACGAGGAGAAGTGGGAGAAGGAGGAGCGGGAGGAGTGGGAGCATGGGGGCGGACTGACAGGTTGGTGAGCAGGGTGAGGGATCCCAGGAAGGACGGAATGCTGCCCTGGAACCTGTTGCCGCCCAGCTGCCTGCCAGTGGTGCGTGCGTGCAAGGGGGGGGAGGCTGTTTTTGAGGCGCCTCAAAAACAAGGAAGGAGGGAATGATGCCCTGGAACCTGTTGTCCCCCAGCCGCCTGCCAGTGGTGCAGTGCAGCGCATTAGGAAGTGTTCAGAGAACACAATCATGGCGTGTGGTGTGCATGCATGGGAGAAGTTTCGGGAACAGGCCTGTGCGTTGTAAGCAACGGGGCGTCGTACTGTCACAAAAGAGAGTGAGCAAGGCGCTGACACAGCCTGTAGCACTCACAGTGACTGCAGCGGCACCCGCACGGGGGGGGTGAGCATGGGATGGGCGGCGCAGTGGGCACTCACAGTGACTCGAGGGTAGGGCTGAAGACATTGGGCAGCGATCCTGAAAGCTGATTCAGGCCGAGGTTGCTGGTGGTGCATGGACGGGCATGAGGGTAGGTAGGGTAGGGGATGAGACGCATGAGCACACACTTGCACATCCAGACGCACATGCATATACTCATATGCGCATGCACATGCAGAAGGACATTAAGCGGAGGCGCACATGCATGCACACATACAGCATGTATGGTGGGAGCAGCACAGGCACGGGCACAGGCACAGGCACAGAGTGGGGACTGACAGTGTCTTGAGTGAGCGGAGGGAGGAGAAGTGGCGCGGGATGGAGCCCACCAGATGGTTGTACTCGAGCGACCTGCACAGGGGAGAGGACGAGGGGTGGGGAAGAAGACATGCGGGCAAGGGCCGATGGGCGACCGGAGACAGGGGGAGGGAGGCCGGTAGGGTCAGCAGGGCAGGGGGGGCCAGGCCAGGTTGTGGGTTCGGGCGGTTCACGAGGGAACAGTGGTGTGTTCTGATACTTCTCCAAAGAAATCACGGAATGTAGGGACGCAGTTGATAAGAACCAACAGATCCCTCTTTATTTGAGTCTGCAGCTAGCAGTGCAGGTTATAGCGCAGAAAAAGTGGCTCACAGCGTGGTGAGGTTGGTGAGGGAGCCCCATGACTCAGGCAGGAAGCCCACCAGCCCGTTGCCGTTGGCCTTGCTGCCGTGGACCATGGGCGGGTGGAGGATGGGTGAGTGGGGGATGCGTGGGTGGTGAAGGGTGAGTGGTGAGATGGGATGGTCGGGGGACAGGGCAACGGGCACGAGGAGAATTTGCTATCTTTACTGCTGAGCTCAAAAAGTGTGTCTCAAAAGGAACATTTGTCCATGTAAGGCAGGCATGGGGACACTGATGTTCACACATCGGTGCTGCCCTGAGCTCACATGCATGCTGCCCTAGTGCATGGAGAGAAGCACATGAGGGGACTTACAAGAATTCCAGATGGGAGAGCAGTGACAGGTCCTGTGGAACAGCCCCTGTGCGCAGGTTGGCCTCGTGCGTCACGTCCCTGTGGTGGGGCGGTGTGAGGGACGGGGGAGGGACACGCACACACAAGGGAGAGGCACGAGGGGGCGAGGGATCGACACAAGGTGAGAACAGCGACAGGTCACAGCCCCTGTGCGCAGGTTAGCATCCCTGTTTCGGGATGGAGGAGGGGAGGGAGGGAATAGGAACTTGAAAGAGAGGAGTGGGTTGATGGAAGGGAAGAGGGAGGGCTAGGCGAATGGTGAAGAGCGGAGCACGTGCTAAGGACAAGGGGGCAATGCGGAGGAGATGATTTGCCACACTGATTTAAATTAGAAAGTGACTGACGAACGCAGACAGCTGCCAGCATGTGTACAGGCAATATGAGGGCGTACAGGTATCGCAACTCGGAGAGCGCTGTGAGCCAGAAAGGGAGCTGCTTAAAACGAAGATAAGACAAGTCCCTGCAGGGAAGGGAAGAGAGTGCGAGAGGGAAGATATGGCCTTAGGTAGCAGCAGCTTACGTGTTTGCGTTCAGGATTAAAAGCAGAGGCAAGAGCCAACAAGGGCGACAGGTGGGTGCAGTGGTGAAGTAGGTGAGGTGGAGCTTACAGGTAGGTGAGGTGGAGCTTACAGGTAGGTGAGGTGGAGCTTACAGGTAGGTGAGGTGGAGCTTACAGGTAGGTGAGGTTCTGAAGGAGTGCGAGGGAGACAGGCAGCTCGCCCCACATGTGCATGTCGCTGAATGTGCTGTGAGTGGGAAGAGGGAACGAGGGGAGAGGGTTTTGAGCTGGCTAGAAAGCTTCACATGTGCATGTGGCTGAACTGAAGGTACTGTGAGTGGGAGGAGGGAGAGGGGGTATGAGAAGAGGGGAGAGTGGAAGGGGTGGTGGAGGGAGGGAGGGAGGGAGGGAGGGAGGGAGGGAGGGAGGGAGGGAGGGAGGGAGGGAGGGAGGGAGGGAGGGAGGGAGGGAGGGAGGGAGGGAGGGAGGGAGGATGGGAGGGAGGGAGGGAGGGAGGGAGGGAGGGAGGGAGGGAGGGAGGGAGGGAGGGAGGGAGGAAGATGGAGGGAGACTCACAGGCGGCGCAGAGAGCGGAGGGAGGAGAAGAGGGAGATGGAGGAGAGTTCCCCAGAGATTTTGTGCGCACCGGTGATGTCCCTGTGAGACACAGTTCCGCATGGGCGACATGGGATGTGGAGTGGAGTGGGTGACACATAATATGGAGAGCGGACAGCATGGCGTCATGGTGAATGGATGGCATGGCATTACGGGGTGAATGGATGGATACAGTGCGTGAGAGCAGAGAGAGGTGGGGCGGCTCACAGCGAGTGCAGGTTGGTGAGGAGGGAGAGCCACGTGTACTGCGACATGGCTCCCTTGAGGTTGTACACCTGCCGTAGCGACCTGAAGGAGGAGAGGGAAGGGGGGAGGCGGTGGAGGGGGAGGGGGTTGGTAGAGTCAACTTAAAGCCACGTGTATTGCGACATGGATACTTTCAGGTTGTACACCTGCCGTAGCGACCTGAAGGAGGGGAGGGAAGGGGGGAGGCGGTGGAGGGGGAGGGGGTTGGTAGAGTCAACTTAAAGCCACGTGCACTGCGACATGGCTCCTTTCAGGTTGTACACCTGCCGTAGCGACCTGGAAGGGTGGGAATGGGGAAAGGTAGGACAGAAGGGGGGGTTTGTTGCGAGAGCATGAGCGGGGACGTTGGCATGAAGAGTAGTGGACGATTGTAAGGCGAAGGATTGCGTTGGGTGATGGAAGATTGCGTTTAAAGATGGACGAATGCAAGCTTAGAGCACGTTGGAGTTGAAGGGCGGCGTGATGGTGAAGGAAGAAGATGATGTGCAGAGAAGGATGGCAGTGGGAAAGAGGAGAGGCGTACAGGTAGGAAAGAGCGGAGAGTTGACTCATGGTGGCTGGGAGGCTCCCTGACACCTGCGTGAGAGTCAGGTCCCTGTAGCACAGCACAGCACAGCACAGCACAGCACAGCACAGCACAGCACAGTGGGGAGGGGAAGGTCAGGCGCTTAGTTGCGGAAGACGCTAGGCGGCATCAGGTTCCCCATCAGGTTCCCCATCAGGTTCCCCATCAGGTTCCCCATCAGGTTCCCCATCAGGTTCCCCATCAGGTTCCCCATCAGGTTCCCCATCAGGTTCCCTGTGCTGTGCTGTGGAAGGTCGCACAAGCATGGTAAGATACGACACAGGAAGAGCAGACTGTGTGGCGGAGTGGGCGAGTGAGTAACTGGCCGAAGGCTTACAAGTGGCGGAGGTGCGAGAGGGAGGAGATGGCAGAAGGGATGGATCCACTGATCTGGGTGTTGGACAGGTCGCTGTGGAGTGGAGCGGAGAGGAGGGGGGATGATGTGAGAGGGGAGGTGAGAGAGGCAGTGTGCATGTGTTAGGGGGTGTGATAAGAGTGGTGGGTTGATACGAGAGAGGGGGTGAAGAGATGGAAGAGAGTGGATGAGAGAAAGAAGGGGGGCAGATGAGAGACTTGGTGCGAGGGGAAGGCACGTTTGGTACTTGGAAGAGAGGGGGGGAGTCGTAGTACATATCAAGAAGCTTCCATAGGGACGGTAAAAAAGAACCAGAAACGCATGGGCATGGGGAAGGTATGGTTGGGCATAGGATGGTGCGGGTGGGTGGGAAGGCAGGGCAAGCATGAGGCAGCAGGGTGCATGCGAGCTCACTCACACTTGTTGCAGCAGTGGTAGCGATGTGAGTATGTTGATGGACCCTGTCAGATCCATGTTGTATGAGAGGTTCCTGGGGAGACATGGTGAGATGATGGTGAGATGATGCATGCATGCACACAGGGGGCATGGAGCACGCCGGGCATGGGACATGGGGAATGCAAAAAGGGGCATGAGGCGTGCGGCATGCGGAATGAGGCATGGAGCATGAGGGAATGAGCACGGGGGCGAAGCAGAGGGTGTACAGACATGAGGCGTGGGATAAACGGGTTACAAGATGGCAAGCGAGCGAGCCACTATTGAGATAAGGGATACAAGACGAGGTGGCACAACCGCCGGCATCCAATACGACAAGACATTTCCAAGGTTTGAGCTTGACTCACAGGGCTTTAAGCTGCTTGAGCTGAGCGAATGCATCCAGCGGCAGGGCTTTGCTGAAATAGTTGTACGACAAATCCCTGCACGCGACACCATGCCATAGCATGCCATGCCGTGCAACACCAATCCATGACCATGCACGACGGGGCGAGCAGGAAAGAGGGAACGTGGGACAGAGAGAAAGAGTGGAAGAGGGAAAACGGGACAGAGGGAAAGAGTGAAGGGGGAAAATCGGGACAGAGGGAAAGAGTGAAAGGGGGAAAGCGGGACAGAGGGAAATAGTGAAAGAGGGAAAGCGGGACAGAGGAAAAGAGTGAAAGAGGGAAAAGCGGGCCAGAGGAAGGAACGGAACGAGCGGGGGCGGAAGGTAGTGGATGGAGCACCTTGTGAAAGAAGTTGTTACGAGGTGCATACTCGCTAAAGGCATGCTCACTGCAGCAAGTAATGAGGGTGCGCGCTACAGTCACATCAACTGCAATGCGCCTGTGCTATGCTCGCCATGCTCACAATTGCTGCAGGGCAGTGAGCATGCGAATGTCAGCGGGAATGACGCTTGATACACCCACACCGGCCACAGACCTGGGAGGGAGGACGTGTGGAGGGGAACCGGAAGGAGGGCATGTGAGGCGCGCAAGACACGCCAGTAGCTCATCCTTGTAAGGGATGCTGATAGGGAGACGAATTGAGCAACTTACACCTTTCAGGCATAGCACCTACGAGGGACGCGACTAGAACGTGAATGACAAGAATACAAGTTCAAGAATGCGACTCACATGAATCGAGTGTACACGAATGTCACCATGAATGTCATTTTTCAGAAATAAAATCTTCTAAAACGTCGTTTTCACGCATGTAACTTTCATGTCACTTCGGTAAGGTCGTTTTCACGAATGCCACTCCCAAGAACGTCACTCACAGAGCAGTGACTCGGCCTTGCGCGTCGCACGTGACGCCCGTCCACTGCGCGCAAGCAGGCGTCATGGCGCCATTGCCAGTCCACGCCTTCCACAAGCGGTTCAGCGCTACCAGCGCTCTCACTGCACGCCGCATCACGCGCAAGGCCCATTGAGAGGCGGGGGGAATCAACGGGGGAAATCAACGCAAACGGAAAGGGATAGGAGAGAAGAGACGGTGACAGAGCGTTAGCGAGGACGTTTAAAAATGTATCCGGATCAGTAAGAGACGACGTCGATTGATTCTGTGGTGAATGAGAGACGCTACAAGCGAGCACGTGTTGCTGAATCGTCTCACTGACGCTGCGAGGGAGCCAGATGGATGTCTGCTGTGCTGGTAGAGGAACCGACAATTGAACCGACACCCGAGACGTGGCTCCACGATGATGCTTGCACGCCACCTGTCAATTCCTCGTCCGTCTTTCGCGGAGAGACGTGGTACCCGGCGGTCGCGGGAGGAGCGATCACTAAGCAGGCGTGCACGGCGATAAGCAACGGGACGAGTCGTGGGAAGAACGCCCGAAGGCATTTTTCCACGCGCTGACGCGGTAGCGACGACGAGACGCACGTCACGCTGATCATACTCGGTAGTCTAGGTTGAAGTATCCGAGATAACGCGGGAAGATAATGGCGCTGGGCGCTAACGAGCTTATTCAACCGCGTCATTCTCTAACGCGTTTGTTTCGAGCTGCCGAGCCATCGAAAATCACCAGGTGGTTGCGTGTGGCTGTGTGACTCATGTTTGCGATTCTATGCTTGCACCTCGCGCATCCCCTGCTTTGACATGACGAGGACGCCATGAGCTTAGACAGAGGGTTATGAAGCTCGTACACTGGTACCAGCCAAGGAAGCTAGCCACAGAAGGGTATGGATGGCAACGCAGAGCACATTCCTGAACCATTTCCAACAAGAGAAAGGCGGGAAAAAGCGTTGCCTGTAATGGACGGCACGCACAGGGAATGGCGCCGAATTCAGCAGCAGAAACCTTCCCACTAATGTACACGTGAAACAGTTCATGCATCTGTTGTATATCAATTTAGTGATGAACAATCAAACTTAAAGTTTTAAGGACACATAATATCCTAAGGGTACATTCCGCTGTGGACACTGTCCCAATCGATGTGTCCCAATCGTTTCTACCGCACTGCATCGTATTACACCAAATTGCACCCTAGTTTCGAAAATTTCGCGCCTCTGGTTTAGTTCGGTTCGGAGCGGTACACTCGATTGGGACACATCGATTGGGACAGTGTCCCAAGCGGAATTTATGTCAGAATCCCAGTCACTAACCACTGGGATAAAAGGGCTTGTTTATATAGCGGGTGAGTGCGCCCATAACCCCCCAGGCCGACGTGCCTGTAACCCTTCCCTAGGATCATCGGGGATCCCCAGTGGACCTCTGACACCCCCCCGCACTGGGATGCCCGAAGTGCACACACCGGGAATCGAACCCGAGACCTTTGCTCTGATACCATGTCAGAATCTCAGTCACTAACCACTGGGATAAAATGGCTTGTTTATATAGCGGGTGAGTGCGCCCATAACCCCCCAGGCCGACGTGCCTGTAACCCTTCCCTAGGATCTGGCCTCTCGATATCAGGGTGATTCACCCTTATGACCCTTACTATAAGGGCGGGTTTTACGATGCACCCTTTTTTACAAGACTGGTTTTGTTTTCGACCCTTACCAAAAAAAGTGATCGATTGTATGACACTGATATTTCAGAGCTATGTGGTGTAGTAGCACTGATGAAATCGAGTTCGATCTAAGAGAGGATACCAGGATTGGTCGCGTAAAACACATTTCCTACGGCGGATGACCCCGACAGGTATCGAACTTGGGTCCTCCACATAACAACGATGACTCAACACACTGCAACACTAACACCCTACATAGTATGCTCAGCAAAACTATTCGACAGTTTCTTTAATTTGTTTGCACCCTGATTTTTAAGAGCAGTTCCTGTGAAGCACCCTTACTGAAAGAGTAACAGCTGGGTGTTGGCCTTACGAGGAAGAGTACCCCAAATCCTATCCAGAGGCCTGCCAAGGATCATCGGGGATCCCCAGTGGACCTCTGACAATGTACCCTAAGGTTGTTTACTTTAGTATGTGTATTTGAACCTTGTCCACTCGAATATGCAAAAAAATTCATGTTGTTGAATGCTTTTCCCTACACCTACCGGGATTCACGCGCTTTCTAGGCACTTGGCGGCAAAAACTGCCAAAACCGTAGGCGCCGAACTTTTCTTCGCGCAAGAATCAAGCCGAGAAGGCTCTAGTATGTGTATTTGAACCTTGTCCACTCGAATATGCAATCAAAATCAGGTTGTTGAATGCTTTTTGTGAAGATAGGCGATAGGATAAGGCGCCATAGCTAGGAGAACCCTAGCTAGGCAAGAGAAAGTTTAGGCAAAAGAGAGGGGGTTTCACTAGCAGCAATGAGGATACATATAGCAAACCCTAGATGGGTTGTACTCGCTATAGAGCACCCCACTACAGGCTAGAGAATAACATTCTGACACACCCCCATAGCCAAAGTGGGGTGTAATCAGTACAATGAGCAAGCAGGTATAGAGCAGGTTCACAAGTGCAAGCAAAGCTAGAGGCTTTCACAAAGGGCAAGTGAGGAGGAGGAGGCGAGACTGTAGGAGGAGAGGAGATAAGAGGCGACGACTGAAGCTGCAGACACACAGGCAACAGGAGTCAAACTGGCACAGTGGCTACCGGAACAGCGCCCCGGAATACAGGAGTAACTGGCTCCGCGGCTAAGTGCGGCAGACGAGCAACGGACCCACGGGCGACTGGCGCAGCTGGCTACGACTGGGCTACCGGAACAGCGCCCCGGACTACAGGTGCTGCTGACGACAAGACGGCAGCCTCCGCTCAACCTCCCCCGACCGTCCCACCCCCCTCTCACACACCCCCTGTTCGAACCCTAGCTCCACTCCCACGTCACCCCCCTAGCACCACTCCTTCGGCTCCCACACACCCACCCCCCTCAGCGGCAGCTGCAGCAGCGGGAGACGGAGGAGGAGGAGGAGCAGGGGACGGAGCAAACAGCCAGCACCCCCATAGGCGCCACCCCCACACTCGCCACCCCCAAACCCTAAAAGAGGCAGAATGGGAGGGGGGAAGGGGCGATTCGGGGGCGATTCGGGGGAGGGCGCGCGGCTCCCCAGGGCAACGCGACGGGGCAGCAGGTGGGGCGCGCGCGGCTTCCCAGGGCGCCGCGACGGGGCAGCGGGGGGCCGCGCGCGGCTCCCCAGGGCGCCGCGACGTGGATGCGAGGTCGCGCGCGGCTCCCCAGGGCGCCGCGACGAGGCAGCGGGGCCGCGCATGGCCCCCCAGGGCTCCGCGACGAGCGGGGGGGGCCGCGCACGGCTCCCCAGGGCGCCGCGACGGGGCAGCAGGCGTCGCGCGCGCTTCCCAGGGCACCGCGACGGGGCAGCGGGGGCGACGGGGGGGGTCTACTGCAGGCGACGGGAGGGAACCGACGGGGGGAAACCGCCGCGCACCCCGGGGCGCACGGCGGGCAGGAAACCGCCGCGCGCCCCGAGCGCGCGGCGGGAAGAAAAATAAGGCGTCGCGCGCCCCATGGCGCGCGACGGAGAGGAAAGCAGCGGAAGCATCGAGTGGGGCCCACAGGCCATGAGCGTAACCGCTCTGACACCATGTGAAGATAGGCGATAGGATAAGGCGCCATAGCTAGGAGAACCCTAGCTAGGCAAGAGAAAGTTTAGGCAAAAGAGAGGGGGTTTCACTAGCAGCAATGAGGATACATATAGCAAACCCTAGATGGGTTGTACTCGCTATAGAGCACCCCACTACAGGCTAGAGAATAACATTCTGACACTTTTCCCTACACCTATAGTGATTTACCCGCTTTCTAGGCACTTGGCGGCAAAAACGGCCGAAATCGTAGGCGCCGAACTTTTCTTCGCGCAAAAACCAAGCCGAAAAGGCTCTAGTATGTGTATTTGAACCTGGGCCACTAGAATATGCAATAAAATTCAGGTTGTTGAATGCTTTTCCCTACACCTATAGGGATTCACGCGCTTTCTATGCACTTGGCGGCAAAAACGGCCGAAATCGTTCGCGCCGAACTTTTCTTCGCACAAGAACCAAGCCAAAAAGGCTCTAGTATGTGTATTTGAACCTTGTATACTCGAATATGCAATAAAAATCAGGTTGTTGAATGCTTTTCCCTACACCTATAGTGATTCAAGCGCTTTCTAGGCACTTGGCGGCAAAAACGGCCGAAATCGTAGGCGCCGAACTTTTCTTCGCACAAGAACCAAGCCGAAAAGGCTCTAGTATGTATATTTGAACCTGGGCACTAGAATATGCAATAAAAATCAGGTTGTTGAATGCCTTTCACTACACCTATAGGCATTTACGCGCTTTCTAGGCACTTGGCGGCAAAAAGAGGCCAAAATCGTAGGCGCCGAACTTTTCTTCGAGCAAGAACCAAGCCGAAAAGGCTCTAGTATGTGTATTTGAACCTGGGCCACTAGAATATGCAATAAAAAAAGGTTGTTGAATGCTTTTCCCTACACCTAAAGAGATTTACGCGCTTTCTAGGTACTTGGCGGCAACAACGGCCGAAATCGTAGGCGCAGAACTTTTCTTCTCACAAGAAACAAGACAAAAAGGCTCTAGTATGTGTATTTTAAACTGGGCCACTAGAATATGCAATAAAATTCAGGTTGTTGAATACTTTTCCCTACACCTATAGTGATTTACGCGCTTTCTAGGCAATTGGCGGCAAAAAAACGGCCGAAATCGTAAGCGCCGAACTTTTCTTCGTACAAGAACCAAGCCGAAAAGGCTCTAGTATGTATATTTCAACCTGGACCACTAGAATATGCAATAAAAATCAGGTTGTTGAATGCTTTTCCCTACACCTATAGGGATTTACGCGCTTTCTAGGCACTTGGCGGCAAAAAACGGCCGAAATCGTAGGCGCCAAACTTTTCTTCGCGCAAGAACCAAGCCAAAAAGGCTCTAGTATGTGTATTTGAACCTGGGCCACTAGAATATGCAATAAAATTTAGGTTGTTGAATGCTTTTCCCTACACCTATAGGGATTTACGCGCTTTCTAGGCAATTCGCGGCAAAAACGGCCGAAATCGTAGGCGCCGAACTTTTCTTCGCACAAGAACCAAGCCGAAAAGGCTCTAGTATGTGTATTTGAACCTGGGCCACTAGAATATGCAATAAAAATCAGGTTGTTGAATGCTTTTCCCTACACCTATAGAGATTTACGCGCTTTCAGGCAATTGGCGGCAAAAATGGCCGAAATCGTAGGCGCCGAACTTTTATTTGATCAAGAGCCAAGCAGAAAAGGCTCTAGTATGTGTATTTGAACCTGGGCCACTAGAATATGCAATAAAATTCAGGTTGTTGAATGCTTTTCCCTACACCTATAGGGATTCACGCGCTTTCTTGGCACTTGGCGGCAAAAACGGCCGAAATCGTAGGCGCCGAACTTTTCTTCGCACAAGAACCAAGCCGAAAAGGCTCTAGTATGTGTATTTATACCTAAGCCACTAGAATATGCAATAAAATTCAGGTTGTTGAATGCTTTTTCCTACGCCTATAAGGATTCACGCGCTTTCTAGGCACTTGGCGGCAAAAAACGGCCGAAATCGTAGGCGCCAAACTTTTCTTCGCACAAGAACCAAGCCAAAAAGGCTCTAGTATGTGTATTTGAACCTGGGCCACTAGAATATGCAATAAAATTCAGGTTGTTGATTGCTTTTCCCTACGCCTATAAGGATTCATGCGCTTTCTATGCACTTGGCGGCAAAAACGGCCGAAATCGTAAGCGCCGAACTTTTCTTCGCACAAGAACCAAGCCGAAAAGGCTCTAGTATGTGTATTTGAACCTGAGCCACTCGAATATGCAATAAAAATCAGGTTGTTGAATGCTTTTCCCTACGCCTATAGGGATTCACACGCTTTCTAGGCACTTGGCGGCAAAAACGGTAAAAATCGTAAGCGCCGAACTTTTCTTCGCACAAGAACCAAGCCGAAAAGGCTCTAGTATGTGTATTTGAACCTGAGCCACTCAAATATGCAATAAAAATTAGGTTGTTGAATGCTTTTCCCTATGCCTATAGGGATTCACACGCTTTCTAGGCACTTGGCGGCAAAAACGGTCGAAATCGTAGGCGCCGAACTTTTCTTCGCACAAGAATAAAGCCGAAAAGGCTCTAGTTTGTGTATTTATACCTAAGCCACTAGAATATGCAATAAAATTCAGGTTGTTGAATGCTTTTTCCTACGCCTATAAGGATTCACGCGCTTTCTAGGCACTTGGCGGCAAAAACGGCCGAAATCGTAGGCGCCAAACTTTTCTTCGCACAAGAACCAAGCCAAAAAGGCTCTAGTATGTGTATTTGAACCTGGGCCACTAGAATATGCAATAAAATTCAGGTTGTTGATTGCTTTTCCCTACGCCTATAAGGATTCATGCGCTTTCTATGCACTTGGCGGCAAAAAACGGTCAAAATCGTAAGCGCCGAACTTTTCTTCGCACAAGAACCAAGCCGAAAAGGCTCTAGTATGTGTATTTGAACCTGAGCCACTCGAATATGCAATAAAAATCAGGTTGTTGAATGCTTTTCCCTACGCCTATAGGGATTCACACGCTTTCTAGGCACTTGGCGGCAAAAACGGTAAAAATCGTAAGCGCCGAACTTTTCTTCGCACAAGAACCAAGCCGAAAAGGCTCTAGTATGTGTATTTGAACCTGAGCCACTCAAATATGCAATAAAAATTAGGTTGTTGAATGCTTTTCCCTATGCCTATAGGGATTCACACGCTTTCTAGGCACTTGGCGGCAAAAACGGTCGAAATCGTAGGCGCCGAACTTTTCTTCGCATAAGAACAAAGCCAAAAAGACTCTAGTATGTGTATTTGAACCTGGGCCACTAGAATATGCAATAAAATTCAGGTTGTTGAATGCTTTTCCCTACGCCTATAAGGATTCACGCGCTTTCTAGGCACTTGGCGGCAAAAACGGCCGAAATCGTAGGCGCCGAACTTTTCTTCGCACAAGAACCAAGCCAAAAAGGCTCTAGTATGTGTATTTGAACCTGGGACACTATAACATTCAATAAAATTCAGGTTGTTGAATGCATTTCCCTACGCCTATAAGGATTCACGCGCTTTCTAGGCACTTGGCGGCAAAAACGTCAGAAATTGTAGACGCCGACCTTTTCTTCGCACAAGAACCAAGCCAAAAAGGCTCTAGTATGTGTATTTGAACCTGGGCCACTAGAATATGCAATAAAATTCAGGTTGCTGAATGCTTTTCCCTACGCCTATAAGGATTCACGCGCTTTCTAGGCACTTGGCAGCAAAAACGGCCGAAATCGTAGGCGCCGAACTTTTCTTTGCACAAGAACCAAGCCAAAAAGGCTCTAGTATGTGTATTTGAACCTGAGCCACTAAAATATGCAATAAAATTCAGGTTGTTGAATGCTTTTTCCTACGCCTATAGGGATTTACGCGCTTTCTAGGCACTTGGCGGCAAAAAACGGCCGAAATCGTAGGCGCCGAACTTTTCTTCGCACAAGAACCAAGCCGAAAAGGCTCTAGTATGTGTATTTGAACCTGGGACACTAAAATATTCAATAAAATTCAGGTTGTTGAATGCTTTTCCCTACGCCTATAAGGATTCACGCGCTTTCTAGGCACTTGGCGGCAAAAAACGGCCGAAATCGTAGGCGTCGAACTTTTCTGCGCACAAGAACCAAGCCGAAAAGGCTCTACTATGTGTATTTGAACCTGGGCCACTAGAATATGCAATAAAATCCAGGTTGTTGAATGCTTTTCCCTACGCCTATAAGGATTCACGCGCTTTCTAGGCACTTGGCGGCAAAAACGGCCGAAATCGTAGGCGCCGAACTTTTCTTCGCACAAGAACCAAGCCAAAAAGGCTCTAGTATGTGTATTTGAACATGAGACACTAGAATATGCAATATAGTTCAGGTTGTTGATTGCTTTTCCCTACGCCTATAAGGATTCACGCGCTTTCTAGGCACTTGGCGGCAAAAACGGCCGAAATCGTAGGCGCCGAACTTTTCTTTGTCAAACATTATATATGTTGTGTTTGTTTAGGCTACAGTGGGTTAGCCTATAGGGGGTACACAATTCTAGGGTTTGGTACTTGTACTGCTTTCACTCATAGTTCAATCATTCCAGTCTCTTCTTTCTGACATGGTTTCAGAGCAGGTCCTTCGCTAGGACCGTTCTTAGGGCCCACCACTGAATACCTACCTACCTATCTACTGTCGGAGTGCTGCGTTAGCGCCTCCCCCTCAGCGCCCTCGTGCGCCCTCGTTTACGGCCCCCCCTAAGGCCCCGTCGACCCCGCGCGCCGCCCCTTAGCGATTCGCGCGCCGCCCCTTAGTGGCCCCGTCGAACCCGCGCGCGCCCCGATTTCGGCCCCGTTTGGCCCCGTCGACCCGCGCGCGTCCCCCCTTAGAGGCCCCGCTGGCCCCGTCGACCCGCGCGCGCCCCGCTTACGGCCCCGTCGACCCCGCGCGCACCCCGTTTAGCGGCCCCGCGGCCCCGTCGAACCCCACCTAGCGGCCCCGCGGCCCCGTCGCGTCCCGCCTAGAGGCCCCGCGGCCCCGTCGCGTCCCGCTTAGAGGCCCCGCGGCCCCGTCGCGCCCCACCTTACGGCCCCGCGACCCCGTTGCGCCCCGCTTAGCGGCCCCGCGGCCCCGTCGAGCCCCGCTTAGAGGCCCCCCGCGGCCCCGTACCGCCCCGCTTAGAGGCTCTGCGCAGCCGCGCAGCCCGACCCGAGCCGCGCCGCCCTACCCGACCGAGCCGCGCCGCCCGTACTGAGCAGCCCCGTCGATACTACTGCTCCTGCTGCTACTGCTACTGCTGCTACTGCTACTACTGCTGCCACTATGGCTAGTCCTCCCGTACTTGCTTTCGATGCCGAGGGCCGCCCAGTGAAGTTTGACACCTGGCTAGATGACCTCTTCCTCCAGCTCACTGCCAAGGAGGATATTTCGCTGTACGATCATGCCCTCGGTCACGCTACTGCCCCTCCTACCACTGCAGACAGCACTCAGCGCTCACAGTGGCAGACTCGTGACGCCCACGCTCGCTTCGCTATTCGCAACTCCCTGCCACTAGATGAGCGCGAGCACTTTGGCCAGCACAAGACTGCTAAGGACCTGTACACTGCTGTAGTTGCTCGTTACTCCTCACCTGCCTCTGCCGCACTAGGCCGCCTCACCCTCCCCTACCTGTTCCCCGACCTGGCCTCCTTCAGCACAGTCGCTGACCTCATCACCCACCTCAGGACCAGTGAGGCCCGGGAAGGGTGGATGGGAGGGAGTGTACGGATGAGTATCCAGGATTACTCACATGGAGGGTGGCGGCTGAGATGCCTGCTGTACCAAGGTCCGTCTCCAAAGTGTCGAGGCGGCCACCAACAGCAGCGTTGTACAATGCGAATTGGTCAGTGTTGCCTCGGCGATGCATGCTTGCAGCCATGTGCATGACCACATGTGTCCTCAGAAAAACACGTTTTGAAGTGGTTTCAGCCTGTGGCATGGTGGGGTAGGAAATGAGTATGTGCCTGGTGGCGGCGAGACACAAACATCAACCTATATCGTAGCACCGCTCCCACCAAAAACCGCCACAACACACATACCTCGTAGAACGCGCAGTTGTAGTCTCTCTCCTCCTTTATGTCGCTTTCGACCTGAGCTAGCATGTGGAGGAATTGGTTGCTCTTGATAATCGACTCTGTCCATTGCCTTCGATTTGATGCCCGGTATGGCCGTTTCACGGTGATTTTGTGGAAGTGTTCGTACATGTTGGTGGAATACTCCTCCGGCAAGCCACCCCTTCGAATGGCATCGGCATAGTGCACTACCATGTGCACTTTCACAACCTTCCAGAGAGATGCCTGTGTTGGGAATGCACCCTTAAGTTTGTCGATCATCCTGGGGGGAGAGAAGGGATGATGATGGCCGTTGAGAGAAACAATATCTGCCCTACACACTCAATCCACTCTGGACTTACCTACACACTCAGATCCGAGTCACATACCACGCTGGACTTATCTCCACACTCCGATCCGAGCTCACATACCACTCTGGACTTACCTCCACACTCAAATCCGAGCTCCCATACCCCTCGCTCCGATCCGAGCTCGCATACCCCTCTGGACTTACCTCCACGCTCCGATCCGAGCTCGCATACCCCTCTGGACTTACCTCCACGCTCCGATCCGAGCTCGCATACCCCTCTGGACTTACCTCCACGCTCCGATCCGAGCTCGCATACCCCTCTGGACTTACCTCCACGCTCCGATCCGAGCTCGCATACCCCTCTGGACTTACCTCCACGCTCCGATCCGAGCTCGCATACCCCTCTGGACTTACCTCCACGCTCCGATCCGAGCTCGCATACCCCTCTGGACTTACCTCCACGCTCCGATCCGAGCTCGCATACCCCTCTGGACTTACCTCCACGCTCCGATCCGAGCTCGCATACCCCTCTGGACTTACCTCGACGCTCCGATCCGAGCTCGCATACCCCTCTGGACTTACCTCCACGCTCCGATCCGAGCTCGCATACCCCTCTGGACTTACCTCGACGCTCCGATCCGAGCTCCCATACCCCTCGCTCCGATCCGAGCTCGCATACCCCTCTGGACTTACCTCCACGCTCCGATCCGAGCTCGCATACCCCTCTGGACTTACCTCCACGCTCCGATCCGAGCTCGCATACCCCTCTGGACTTACCTCCACGCTCCGATCCGAGCTCCCATACCCCTCGCTCCGATCCGAGCTCGCATACCCCTCTGGACTTACCTCCACGCTCCGATCCGAGCTCGCATACCCCTCTGGACTTACCTCCACGCTCCGATCCGAGCTCGCATACCCCTCTGGACTTACCTCCACGCTCCGATCCGAGCTCGCATACCCCTCTGGACTTACCTCCACGCTCCGATCCGAGCTCGCATACCCCTCTGGACTTACCTCCACGCTCCGATCCGAGCTCGCATACCCCTCTGGACTTACCTCCACGCTCCGATCCGAGCTCGCATACCCCTCTGGACTTACCTCCACGCTCCGATCCGAGCTCGCATACCCCTCTGGACTTACCTCCACGCTCCGATCCGAGCTCGCATACCCCTCTGGACTTACCTCCACGCTCCGATCCGAGCTCGCATACCCCTCTGGACTTACCTCCACGCTCCGATCCGAGCTCGCATACCCCTCTGGACTTACCTCCACGCTCCGATCCGAGCTCGCATACCCCTCTGGACTTACCTCCACGCTACGATCCGAGCTCGCATACCCCTCTGGACTTACCTCCACGCTCCGATCCGAGCTCGCATACCCCTCTGGACTTACCTCCACACTCAAAATTGAGCTCTACACACAAGTGTAGATCTTTTGAAACAATGGAAACACACACACGCGTAGGATAAAGAGGTGCAGAAAGGGGAGGGTGGGATAAAGATATGGACAGGAGTATCCTAGATTGACCAGAAAACATAACACGGTTTCAAAAATGAGGAGGTTGGGGACAGTTACATGTGGGAGAGGCGCTCCACATTGGCGAGGCTTTCATCCGTGTGGTAACGAGGACGAAAGGTTGCCTTGTACCAACGGAGGAACGCTTGCACTGCTTTCAAGTGTGCATCATCAACAAGGCCTTCTAGTATGAAAATGGAAACTTGCATCACGGCTCGGTGCTCAGCCGCAGAGACACGGGCACCCGACTGGAAGTATGTTCCTGGAACGGGAAGATTTAGACCAGCAATGCGGCCATGCTTCCAAAGCCATTTCATGCGTCTTGGGGGTAAGGGGGGAGGGGGAGAATGGGGGGAAATAGGACAAAGAAGGAATGCGTATGGCTAAGACTGCAGCAAACCACCATTGCGGAACAAACAAGAATCCAATGCAAGCCGGCCATGCCTTTGCAAAAAACAAGAGGCACTGCTTGATATCAAGCCACTGTCGGATCAGGGCAATCCTACCCCGGAATGAAGCATTTGTATTGTTGTGAACGCTAGCCAGACAAGAGACAGATTGCTATGAATCAGACTATCTCATGAAGAGCAGCAACCAGAGTAGAAGCACGGACATGCCTGTGATGAAAGTAAGGAAAATAAAATACCCTACAACACTTACTCATCAAGCTGGCCATTTTTTGCGTTGGGGAGTGTTGCTATGGCGTCACGGATGTGCGTCCACACCCCAACATCCGCCTGGTGAAGGACATCAGGCATGAGCGCCAGGTATGGGTTACCCCATGGTGTGTCGGCATATTTGAAGTCCCAAATGAATGTCTGAAGTGGGGTTTGGGTTCCTTGGTCAGGTAGAAACTTGAAAAACATAGTCACAGGGCAAACTCTAAAAAGAAATTAGGGAAGGCCGTGGACGTACGTGAAAAGGGAATGAAGCCCACAGCGCGGCATAATCCTTAGCCAAAGTCTTCCCTGCTTGGTATAACATCTTGTGTTTACCCATCAGAAATCGTTGCTCCTTTGGGTTCCTCGACTTGAATTTTTTGGTCAAGTTGTCGCACTCGGCACCCAACGCATAACACATAGAGCACGGCCGGTTGCTACCGTGCTGGAATGTGCTTGTCACCTTGCAGCTTTCCGGGTAGTCGCAAGGATAGCTATAGAATAACGGCCTCACAAGGCGTTTGACCCCTGACGGGTCAGACCACACACAACTTATATCGCTGCATGGGGGCAAAATATGTTGTTAGATTGTTGCTACTTTGAGAATAATGATAATTCAGGGAGTGTTGTTCAGAAACTTACCTGTTGCTGGCATCAATCAATGGCTGAAGCACAATTTGCATACACTTCAGGAATAGCTCCGTCTTTACGTTGCTTTTCCACTTCGAATGAGGCAATGGCAGCATTGCCACCATCTGCTTTGCACTCGTCTTCCAACGGTGTTCAACTGCGATATTCCCGAGTGACAAAACGACAGGCCAGACCTTCTGCGTGTCGTTTTTGCTTAATTGTGTGACATCCGAGTACATTATGAGTGCAGCGATCACTTCTTCTTTGATGCGTTGTGCCTTCTGCAATGTTACATTGCGGAAAGGAACGATGGGATGGGAAGAGTTCAAGGGAAGGCATCAGAGGCACAAAGCTCGCAACTCTAGCTGACCCGCCCTACACACCCACATCCGAGCTCCTCACTCAATCCCACCCTCCCTACACACCCACATCCGAGGTCATCACTCACCCACCCACATCCGAGCTCATCACTCACTCCCACCTTCCCTGTTGTTGCTGAAATCCGAGCTCCACACTCACTCCCACCCTCCCTACACACCCACATCCGAGGTCATCACTCACTCACCTCACATCCAAGGTTCCAGAGCACCACACCCACACATCCGAGGCCAGAATACAACCCTCACGATCGCCATCCACTCACCTGGGCTTCGAGCCACCAGTTGCAATGTTGAGGGCGTGTATAAATCCTCTTCCCATTGCGAAATTTCTTGCTCGGGTATAGTGCGAATCCTTTCTGGTTGCATCGGTCTTCGAAAATCGCCTGCACCACCTGGAAACACGAAACAGAAGATTCTTTGTAGTTAGAGAGCTTCACTCCCTCCCCGTGGCGTACCTTGAGAGTGTCCGTGTATTTCAAGGGCACATAGACGGGACGGCCATTCTCCAACACCCCTGGGACCTCAACCATTGTCGTCTTCCACTCAGGTGCTTTCGCGCCCCACTTGTCCGCAGCCCACTTTTGTGCATCTTTGATGCTCCGCCAGCCTAGGAGATCTTCAGAGTTGAAATCGGGGTGGCATACGACGCGCAAAAACCGCTTGCTCTCTTCAACAGTCATGCCCTGCCCTTCACGGAAGCTTTGCATCAGTAACAGCAGCTCTTTACGCGTGTCGAAGATTCCTGGACCGAAATCGAAGTCAATCGGCTCCGGCGAGCCTCTGGCTGAAAGGCGATCTACTCTTGCTCATTCGTTGGCGCATCAAAGTGTGGCGCGGTAGTGTGAGCCACTTGTGCGGGGCTTGTAGGATCTGCCGGATCGTCAACCCGCCTACGCTTGTGACGATGGCATGCGGGTGGCGGATCCTTGTGGATCTGTCCATCTTCGGTTGCCTTAAATGGGCCGTTCTCGTAGCCCTCGTCACGAAGGCGAGCTTGATGCAGCCTACACTCTACGCTGTTGGTCTGATGAGACTTCAGAGCACGGTGCGTCTTGAAGATTGCTGCGCACCATGCACACAGTATAAGTGATAACATTACTAGGTAACGTGCTCTCGTAGTTGCTGCCATAACAGAGGCAAATATGAAGCCGACGCTGGCTTCCTATCCCGCAAATTCGGTGAAAGGTACTGCGGAAATGAGGGCGTTCTATGCCTACGCGGCTCTTATGTGGATCGATCGACATGCTGTGAAGGAGAAGCAAATCGTATCGACAAAGTGTTAAATCTCTAGCAATCGTTCTTCCAGGTGCACGACCCTTGGCGTCTTGGCGGTCGAAGCCCTGCTAGTGCGCTTCGCGGCAAATCGTCTTGGATCGTGCCTCATCGGTAGGAACTTGTGCCTCATGGGTGAATTTGGCAACTTCGTGAGTTCAAACCGTTGAACTCGCTCCGTTTTAAGTTTTACACGGATTGTTTCTAAACCTGTGTAACATAAAATTAAAGAGCTGTGAAAATTGGACACACGCATGTTTTCGTTTAATTCCACAATTATTTGCACGAAAACGTTGAACTTAAAATAGGTGCTGCTGAATATTATCACAAACCGTGTACCCTGAAAAAAGAACTCACAACTGTTATTGTCGTTGTCGCTGTTGTTGTTGTTGTCGCTGTTGGTGTTGTCGCTGTTGTTGTTGTCGTTGTTGTTGTTGTTGTTGTTGTTGTTGTTGCTGCTGCTGCTGTTGTTGCTGTTGTCGTTGGCGCTGTTGTTGTCGCTGCTGTTATTGTTGTGGTGTGTTGTCATTGTCGCTGTTGTTGTTGGCGCTGTTCTTGTTGTCGCTGTTGTTGTTGTCGCTGTTGCTGTTGTCGCTGCGGTTGTTGTCGCTGCTCTTGTTGTCGCTGCTGCTGTTGTCGCTGCTCTTGTTGTCGATGTTGTTGTTGTCGCTGTTGTTGTTGTTGCTGTTGTTGTTGTTGTTGTTGCTGTTGTTGCTGTCGCTGTTCTTTGTTGTCGCTGTTGTTGTTGTCGCTGTTGTTGCTGTTGTTGATGTTGTCGCCGCTGTTGTTGTTGTGGTGTGTTGTCATCGTCGCTGTTGTTGTTGACGCTGTTGTTGTTGTCGCTATTGTTGTTGACGCTGTTGTTGTTGTCGCTGTTGCTGTTGTCGCTGCGGTTGTTGTCGCTGCTCTTGTTGTCGCTGCTCATGTTGTCGCTGTTGTTGTTGTTGCTGTTGTTGTTGTTGCTGTTGTTGTTGTTGCTGTTGTTGTTGTCGCTGTTGTTGTTGTCGCTGTTGTTGTTGTCGCTGTTGTTGTTGTCGCTGTTGTTGTTGTCGCTGTTGCTGTTGTCGCTGTTGTTGTTGACGCTGTTGTTGTTGTCGCTGTTGCTGTTGTCGCTGCGGTTGTTGTCGCTGCTCTTGTTGTCGCTGCTCATGTTGTCGCTGTTGTTGTTGTCGCTGTTGTTGTTGTCGCTGTTGCTGTTGTCGCTGTTGTTGTTGACGATGTTGTTGTTGTCGCTGTTGCTGTTTTCGCTGCGGTTGTTGTCGCTGCTCTTGTTGTCGCTGCTGTTGTTGTCGCTGCTCTTGTTGTCGCTGTTGTTGGTGTCGCTATTGTTGTTGTCGCTGTTGTTGTTGTTGTCGCTGTTGTTGCTGTCGCTGTTGTTGCTGTCGCTGTTTTTGTTGTCGCTGTTGTTGTTGTCGCTGTTGTTGTTGGCGCTGATGTTGTCGCCGATGTTGTTGTTGTGGTGTGTTGTCGTCGTCACTGTTGTTGTTGCTTTTGTTTATGTTGCATTTGTGGTTGATGTTGCAAGCATGGTATGTGCAACCGCGAATGAAATTGATGTTAAATGATAAAGTTTTTACCATAGACTACATTGGTAGCTAGCTTTGTGAACGCATTATATAGTGCTATACATTTGTTTTAAGCCGCATATTTGTCATCAAAGTTAATCCCTCGAAGGCAAGAACAAGGGCCTAGCGTCTGCAAAATTGAAAGAACAAGGGCCTAGCGTCTGCAAAATTGCAAGAACAAGGGCCTAGCGAGTGCAAAAATTCAAGAACAAGGGCCTAGCATCTGCAAAATTGCAAGAACAAGGGCCTAGCGTCTGCAAAATTGCAAGAACAAGGGCCTAGCGTCTGCAAAAATTCAAGAACAAGGGCCTAGCATCTGCAAAATTTCAAGAACAAGGGCCTAGCGTCTGCAAAAATTCAAGAACAAGGGCCTAGCGTCTGCAAAATTTCAAGAACAAGGGCCTAGCGTCTGCAAAAATTAAAGAACAAGGGCCTAGCGAGTGCAAAAATTCAAGAACAAGGGCCTAGCGTCTGCAAAATTGCAAGAACAAGGGCCTAGCGTCTGCAAAATTGCACACCTAGCGAGTGCAAAAATTCAAGAACAAGGGCCTAGCGTCTGCAAAAATTCAAGAAAAAGGGCCTAGCGTCTGCAAAAATTCAAGAACAAGGGCCTAGCGTCTGCAAAAATTCAAGAACAAGGGCCTAGCGTCTGCAAAAATTCAAGAACAAGGGCCTAGCGTCTGCAAAAATTCAAGAACAAGGGCCTAGCGTCTGCAAAAATTCAAGAACAAGGGCCTAGTGTCTGCAAAAATTCAAGAACAAGGGCCTAGCGTCTGCAAAATTTCAAGAACAAGGGCCTAGCGTCTGCAAAAATTCAAGAACAAGGGCCTAACGTCTGCAAAAATTCAAGAACAAGGGCCTATCGTCTGCAAAAAATCAAGAACAAGGGCCTAGCGTCTGCAAACATTCAAGAACAAGGGCCTAACTACGGAGATAACTACTACAACGGGAGCTAGGCTGCGGGCTAGGCACGGGTGCTCGTGTGATCTCTACGTTCGTTGGTCCTTAGTCGTTTTCCTAGTGCACACACTGCTTGCTAGTTCACAAGGCAATTTGGCAAGAGTTTCACTAGAGAAAGTTGACAACAATGATACAAAGAAGTTGGCAAGGCAAGACTACATCAGAGCTAGCATGCAAGCAGGTCGACTGCCAGCGCAGCACAGTCGACCGCGCGCCAGCACAACTTGGTCGACCGCGCTCCAGCAGCGCAGAGTCGCGGCTTGCCAACACTGCAGGTCGACGGCGTGCCAACGTCGCAGGTTGACGGCGCGCCAACGTTGCTCCCGCAGGACAGCAGCGCACCTACTTCGCAGGTGCTCGCAGACGATTGGCGTGCAGTGCCTCGTCACCTGCACAACGCACACACCACATCAACTTCGTGCTGACGACTGCTTCTGATGCACCACGTCGACCTCGGGATACCATCACCGAGGTCGTCCTCGCCAAAACCACCTGGGCGACCATCGCAAGCCTTCGCAGCACCTCGTCACCTAGGTAACCTGGTCGACCGGGCAACCAGGTCGACCAGAGGCTCCAGTGCGTGCCCGTCGACCACCCAGGTCAACGACCACTTCCGGTCGACCTCCCTAGTCGACCACTCCCTCTGGTACGTGCCGGTCGACCTCCCAAGTCGACGGCCACCTCCAGTCGACCTCCCCAGGTCGACCACTATCCCCTGGTTGACCAGCTGCAAGTCGACGTCCCAGGTCGACCAGAAGGGCTGGTCGACGTCCCAGGTCGACCAGCCGAAGTTGGCGCCCTCCCGACGTCGGCGCCCATGCAGTGGCTCCCCGTGCAGGTCGACCAACCTCGTCGACCAACTCGCCCACTGCTGCAGGTCGGCTGCACCCTACACCCGACCACGGTGTCCACGTAGCCGACCAGCTCCAGCGACTCAGGTCCACCGCCAAACTCAAGGGCGGTGTCGCGCGTGTTGGCGAGGTAGGCGAGGCAGCGGTCGACCTCGCGCCAGTGCTGGTCGCTCCTCACCGTGAGGCCGCTCCCCAGCTTGCTGCAGGCGAAGGCGATGTCCGGCCTCGTCGTCGTCGCCGCGAACTGCAGCGAGCCGACCTTCTGCCGGTACTCCTCCTCCTGTCGCTCCTGCGCCTCCTCGTCGTCGAAGGTGAGTTCGGCGTAGGCGTTGACCGAGACCGGCGTCTTCGGAGTCCGTCCGATCTGCTCCTCGTCGATGAAGCGCCTACGCAGCTTGTCGGCGTAGCCCTGCTGGTGCAGCCACAGCTTCCCCGCCGACCTGTCGCGCACGATCTCCAGCCCGAGGTACTTCTGCACCGGCGAGATCTCGCGCAGCTCGAAGGCGGCCTCCAGTAGCTCCTTCAGCTGCTTCAGCATCTCGGGGCTGCTGCTGGCGGCAAGCAGGTCGTCGACGTAGACCAGCACCCAGCAAGTCGCTCCGTCGTCGCCGACCTTGAAGTAGAGGGCCTCGTCGACCTGGCTCTTCTTCCACCCAGCGCCGACCAGCACGTCGTTGAGCGCCAAGTACCACAGCAGCGGCGACTGCTTCAGCTCGTACAGGCTCTTCAGCAGCTTGCACACCTGGCCGGTTCCGTCGTTGAAGTAGTCCGGCTGCGACATGTACAGCACCCGGTCGAGCTTAACCTGTAGGAAGGCGTTCTTCATGTCGAGCTGCATCAAGTTGAGGTTGAGCACGGCGACGATGCTGAGGAAGATCCTCAGCGTCACGTAGCTCCCCACCGGCGCGAACGTCTCGTCGTAGTCGGCGCCGTACACCTGCGTGAAGCCCTTCACGACCAGCCTCGCCTTTTCGCGCTCGACGGTGTCGTCGATGTTGTACTTCGTCGTCAGCACCCACCTGTTCTTCATGACGTTCACTCCCGGCGGGCGTTCGACCAGCTCCCACGTGCCCATGGCGAGGAGACTACGGATCTCCTCCTCCATGGCGGCCTTCACCGCCGGGCCCTTCCAGCTTGCCAACGCCTCCTTCACCGTCATCGTCGAGATGTCCCAACGGTGGTCGGGGTCGGCCAGCATGTCAGGGTCGAGCTCCGGAAACTCCTCGTCCTCGTCGGCGTCGTCGTACAGGATGTCGTCGTCGTCCTCCACGTCGTACACCGTGGTGAAGGCAGCGGGGATGAAGAAGTCGGGCGGCCTTCGAAGTCGACCAGACTTCCGGGGTTCAGGCGGAACCCTCACCGCGTCATGGTCGGTGGACTGGTCGGCCACCTCCTGGTCGACCAGCTCCTCGTCGCCCAACTGCTCCCCTTCATCTTCACTGCCGTCCTCGTCGCCCTGCTGCACCTCGGTCGGCTTCCCGGTCGACTGCTCCCCTGTGGTCAGCTCCCCTGTCGATCGCCAGGTCGCCGACTGTTCCTGGGTCGACCTCGTTGCTGCCTGCTCCCCTGTCGGCGTCACCCTAGTCGGCTGCACCTCCTCGACCGGCTCCCCCCTTATCCAGGTCGACTGCACTCCCAGGTCGACCTGCTGCTTGTCGACCTGCTGCTCGTCGACTTGCTGCTCGTCCTGTCGGCCACCGGCGATGCCCTTGGTCGGCGCCACAGGCGACGTCCCACTGCTCCCCTCATCGCCGGAGGCCGACGACGGAGTCAGCCCACGAAGGTCGACGAGGGGAGGGGCAGGGGAGGGAAAGGAAGGGTGGTCGCAGCGGGCTGCGGGTGCTGGGACTGAGGGTGCTGGAGCTGAGGGTACGGTGCCTGAGAGTACGGAGCCTGGGGGTGCTGAGCCTGGGGGTGCTACGACTGGGGGTGCTGAGCCTGCGTGTACGGAGTCTGGGGGTACTGAGCCTGGGGGTGCGGAGTCTGGGGGTACTGAGCCTGGGGGTGCTGCGCCTGAGGGTACTGAGCCTGGGGGTGCTGCGACTGAGCCTACGGAGCCTGGGGTTGCTGCGTCTGGGGGTGCTCCGGTTCGGGGTGCTGAGCCGTCTCTCCGGGAGCCTCTCACACAGCAGCAGCTTCGTGACTGGTACGTCCAGCGCTTTCGCCTTCCTCGTGGTCCCGCTGGAGTTGGAGGTTCTGGAGCTGCTCGTCCTGGAGGTGCTCGTCCTGGGGGTACTGGAGCTGCCGGGGCTGGGAGCACTGAGGCTGGAGCTGCTGGAGCTGGGGCCTCTGGAGCTGACGGTCCTAGCGGAGTTGGAGCTGCCGGCTCTGGGGGTGCTCTTCCTGGAGGTGCTGGAGCTGCTGGAGCTGACGACACTGGAGCTGACGGTCCTGGAGGTGTCGGTCCCCATGCGGCCTTTGGCCGCAGCTTCCCACCACGCTGCTGCTCGGGGACGAGGAACTGCGCCATGCAGCCCCACACGCGCGCCAGCGACAAGTCGGGCTTCGTCCCGGTCAGCAGCTGGTACGGCGTCGTCCCCGGCGTCGCCGATCGCTCCAGGCAGTTGCGGATCCAGACGGCCTGCCGCAGGGCGAGGTGCCACCAGTGGTGCTGCACGCCCATGTGCAGCAGCATCGTCCTCACCGACTCCACCACCGTCCGCATCTCCCGCTCCGCCATGCCGTTCTGCTGCGGGGTGTACGGGCAGGTTAGGTCGTGGACGATCCCCTTGCCGTCCACGAAGGCGGTGAAGGCCTTGCCGAGAAACTCCCCTCCTCGGTCAGAGCGTAGCTGCAACACCGACTTCTTCGTCTGCCTCTCCACCAGCACCAGCCACTTCTGGAACTCCAGCAGCACATCCGACTTCTTGGCGACCGGCCTCACCCACACGTAGCGGGACTTACGGTCCTTCAGCAGCAAGAAGTATAGGCTGCCGTCCTTGGCAGCCACCCGGAATGGCCCGCACAGGTCGATGTGGACGACGGCTAGCACGTCGGCGGCGTCGGAGCCTTGGTCGGGGAAGGTGTGCCTCGCCAGCTTCCCACCGACGCACGAGACACACGGTGAGTCGGTACCCGTCGCCGACTTGAGGTCCAGCCCAATGGCGACCTCGTTCTTCGCCGAGCTCCTGATGGTATCCAGGCCGACGTGCGCAAGGCGTGCGTGCATCCTGTCCGGCGTCGACTTCGCCTTGGAGACGATCGCCCGCAGGGCCACAACCTCCGACGTGGTCGACGTCGGCCTCGTAGAGCAGGGACGCAGGTCGGTGCAGAGGACTCGCCCGGAGTACGTCGCCCGACCAAGCACTTCTCCTGCTGCCGAGACGAGCAGAATTCCATCGCCGTCCTCCCGAAACTTCACGCCGTGCTCCTTCAGCTGGCCAGACGACAACAGGTTCGCCCGCACACCTGG